TGTCGCCAGTATCAAAGCTTTTAGAGATTCGCTCCGCCTCCTCCAGCACCTCCTTCACTTTCTGTAAAATATCGGGGTTTCCCAGGACCTGATCCAGCGGCGTGGCAGTGTCGAATTCTTTGACGGCAAAGACATGGTCCATTAGCAGGGGAGGATATTCGGGGAATCCTTGCGACAATGCTTTTCGCAAGGCCTCTGTTCCCTTCTTCTTGGACTTCTTGGGCGCAAAGCCCTCCTGAGAAAAGAGCGCCTGTGCCTTTTCTAGTGTCTGGGTAATTCGATCCGTTGTGACATCCGGAACCCCGTCATAGTTTTGCTTGTTGGACACGGTATATTTGAGTCCAACCTTGATCTCCTCCTGACCTTCCCCGGCGGGAACCTGTCGGAACAATCCAATAATGTTGTATTCGCGGTCCGTCAAAATGATGTTACCACCGGCGAAGAATTCGAGGAACATGTGGTATGCGCCATCACTGAAGCAGAAATCTATAATGCGATCTGTTCCAATCTGAGTGATACTTGTAATCCGACGGGACTTCAGGTATTTTCGGAAGCGCGTAACGAAGGGAGAGGGCGTGGTGGCCGCTGTGCGGGAGTACTGAGTCACATGAGTGCGGAAGCCGGAGTCGACGATGAGTTGACGGCGATGGTCCGGTTTGGCGAGTTTGAATAGAAAGATGCGCTGAGTCAATTAGTCCAGTCCGGCTTGGAGGAAAGGGTTGGGCGTACTGAGGACAGGTCATAGATGTTGGATACCCGGAGGTGGACCAGCTCCGAGGCCAATTCCTGCGTGATGACCTAGGGCTGTCAGTAGGATATCTCTGCAATGAGGTATTTAGGCATACCTTCACGTCCAGGGATGAGAATCTCTGCTTCATAATGAGTGTCGTTGTTGAAGGAGGAATTTTCGAGGTGACGTATGCGGGGCAGGAACAGTCGGAGTCGGAAAGCGTGATAGCGCGCATCGGTCCCCTTCCATCCTAATCTATAGAAAATTCTTCTTCTTTTTTTGTCTTTGGCATCCTTTCGCAGTCAACCTTAATACTTTGAAAGTCCTTTGTATCTTCCTGGAGACTTTTCACATATCTTGATTTTCCTTTGTCCCATCCAAGTAGAAGTTCCTTCAGCATTCCATATACGTCATCTATAGTATTGCTGATACTGTGGCTACTTAAAATTACTATTCCTATTTACCAGTCTCTACTTATAATTCTCAGAATCAGGACCAATTCTGCTGTTTAAATCATATAGTCCAAGTTTTCTCTTGCGTTGTGTTTAGCGCCCACCTTGACAGAATCACATAACTGCTATCCCTTTCAGCAGCATAGAAAGCGGGTATCATCCTGCTAAAGGTCCGGGCACCTTGATGGGATTTCATTTTTTTTTTTGCTAGCAATATTCTAGAAATTATAACCGGGTACAAGCAGCCGGGAGTGCGTTGTAAAGGTATCTCTTTGTCGCATTGGAAGGTGTTGAAAACCTGTTTGTGTCGCATGGGAGGATGTTGAAAGCCTGTCCGTTCGTTCAAGTTGCATATGGGCTGATCATGTCGTCTGGGCTGTGTTTTTCAGGGGTGAGGGTTCTTTTCTAGGATAGCCAGCACTGCTTTGTCGCCGTGTCCCTTTACATAGTCTATAAGCTCATCGGTGACCACATTCACCAGACCTTCCTCTTTCAGCTTCTCAACCTCCGCCTTGAACCCTCCAGATACCCAGATCTCATCGAGAATTGTTGCAATGACGATACCGTTGGTCTTGGTAACCCGGACAAGTTCTCTCAAGGCAGGGTCCGGTCCAACATGGCCCTGAGTGAATGTGCCAACGCATGACACGATGTCGTACGTTCCGTCTGGCTTGTCGATTGGCCGGTTCATATCAGCTTGGGTTAGGTCACGGTAGACGCCCGTCTGTCTGGCAATCCCCAGCATGGCGGGAGACAAGTCAATGCCGTCAATTGCCTTTGCATTGGCGACTGCAAGGGCTTCTCCCACCAGTCCGGTTCCACAGCCAGCATCAAGAATCACACTGTCGGCAGCACCGTTTGACAATGAGAACTTCATAGCAGCCTGAGCGACGAGGACAGGAGCAACATAGTTCTGAGCTTCGTCGCCGACCTCAGCATTGTAGGTGGCAGCCCATTTGTCATAGAGCTCCATACAATGTCTGCTGTCGGTGCTGGCACGGGCCTGAGCCAGATAGAGGTTGTTCGTAGGAATTGGAGCGTGCATATTGAGAAAAAGATGGTAGTTAACAGAGTGTCAATTATGATCAGAGAGCTTTGATTTAGGGCTTGGATGAGGTTTCCGCCCTGCTACATTCCCCTTCTTATAGCAGTTGCAAACATACAACTTCGGCTAAATTTGATCATCGCATTGCGTGATGCGGGGTAACTACACTCTTCTTGAAACAGTGACGTTTAGTCGATCGATGATGTCGGTGGGTGAGCCCAGATGTCTGGGCTGAAGCCTGAGCAACCTCTTACATTTACAGACGCGGGAAACCCCCGCTCGAGAAAGCAGTGTAAGTTTAATGCATGCATAGAATGTTTCCAGTTAATCCGAGGAGCTAATGCACGTGCAATTTTCTGCCTTTAATTGCCCTTTGTGGCATATTAATTCAATGCGCGCAATAGGCAACACCTTTCGGTCTTTCCTACGCATACTTCAATGCGTAGTGATGATTGTATATTGACCCGAAGCTATTTACTTATGTTCATGTAGTACTAGCCTGTTAAATAGCACATTGCCCCACATGTTCACTTAGTTATTCTCCGTATCCAGGGCCAGGGCGGGGGGACGATCACATTGGTGCCTCACATTGGTACGTACCTATGAATACGGCGTGTAGAGCGGTTCCTATCATTAACGTAAGCTAGGGCTAATGTTTTCCCCTGGTATTTAGGAATAGAATAATATAATGCCAAGCCTATGCTGATATAGATGCCTTGTCCATTTTCTTTGTGTCGCTACTAACAGGTCTTGCCCTAATAAGCACCACTTAGCCTTGTAAAACGCTATATACTAACACAGCAAACCGACTAGTTCTTTCTGTAAGGAAATAGCAGTGAGTAAGCTTTGTCAAATCTCCCACCCTTAGGGACATTTCTTTTGTGCTCAAATATCTTACCTTGTTCGGATGCCTGAAATTACCTCGCTGCTGGTGAACACACAGTGAATAGGACTTGGTGGCCTTACGCTATGTTAAGGATACTGCCTAGTATAAGATTTCGTTACATACTAATATTTATTTTATTATCAGCCAATGTGAAATGTCTTGCAAAATGTCCCTCTCTATGGTCTATAGAAATACATCAGTCACACTTAACGAGTTGTTTGCTATCAAGGAACGTCACGCACGCTCACTCCCTCACTTATACATACATTCTTTTCTTCTCTCTGTCTTTCGTTCATCGCCGCTACTACATCTCACATCAGACAGATATAGCAACATCTCTTTTTGTCCACTTTTTTTCGGCATTGCGCATAGAGTTTTGACTAAATCATTAAAGTCCGCTATTCGGCTTCATTTCAACTCTCTCGCATGCTATGCGCTTAGGAGTAGGAATGGCCTATTCTCACGTATCCTCTAAGTCCTCTCAGCCTGCGTTTATTCCAATTTTCTCTATGCCATGCCCTTTCCAAGCCTAGAGTATCCTTTAACATCGTTTAACCCAGTCTCAGTCCACTCTCTCGCATACTCTATGCTATAGATCAGAGCATCCACATCAAACCTCGTGTGTGCTAGGTCCCTACAGCTTCCTCTCAGTCCGACCCTCGCATACGTTAGACAAAGAACCTCACTACCAATCCTCACCTGTCGGTTACATCCAAGGGATACTGACATTGGGAACTGACAGCAGCAAAAACTCAGTCTCATCTTCTTCTCTTGCCATTGTATCGAATCTTTCATCTCCTCTGTTTTGCTTCGTCATAAGATCTCATGTCATCTTTGGATAAACAGTTACCTATAAACAAGATGTCGCTTGCGGATAGACAAACGACTGAGACAGTGGGCCGGAAGCTCTCTCTTGTGCAGTGAGTGAGCATGAACATAAAATGCTTCTTTCCTCTAATATCTTTCTATTTAGCTTCTTCAACACTCATCTTGTTCCCCGGGAAATCCGAATTCAGCCCGTGGGGCGTGATTACGACCTTCCAAGAAACCTTTTGACACGCCACTCCGTCTAATTCGCCAGAATGTTTGTAGGTAGGTGGTTCAAAGAAGCTGCAGAGCAGGCTGCAACTCAGCGAGAGATTGAAAAATTCATCTCAATGCAAAGCTTCGAAAACCTTTTGGCATTTCTTGAGCTTGGCTCGGTTTTTGAAGCACACGCACCAGATTTAACCGCCTCTAAGCCTATTGAGCTTGCGACACAGACTGATATGTTCGATATCACACAGGTGGGTGACTTAATGGTTCAGTCCCGTGTCAACTACTATCCCTCCACGCGGGACCGGTGTATGCGCAGCTTTGAGTGAAGCGCCCATTTCTAGACAAACGAAACCGCATTCATCTTCACCTGTGTGAACACTACTACTTGTCATCCTGTACGTACATACCATACCTATCGCATGGAGATGATTGTTCGTTGAGTTGACATTTCCCCACTGTAGCTTCCCACCCACAAATAGAACACATCAGTTTATTGAGACAGTTATCACAAATGGAACCCTAATTTAAATACCTCAAGCCTTGCAACTCCAGATGTAACTTGACGTCAAGAATCCCAAAAACCGGGTTGAACTCACATTCCAACAAGATCTCATTCCGACGATTCCCTAGACGCCGACTTTGTTTACACGGGTACACTGATAACCCCAAGAATGTGCCACGCCTCCTATCCCTGCGTAAATAGATCATCGATTGATAAATTGTCCATGGGGATCCCTGGGTTTTCAACCCCTGCATCCTATCCCCGTATCCTGCATCTTCCATCTATCAATCCAATCGTACCTTACTTCACCACGTGAAAGAAATATACAATTCAATCTACTCCTCGAAATGAAGCTCACCATCTTCCTCCCCCTGGCCGCTTTCTTGTCTTGGGCCATTGCCGAGACCACTGATTCTAGCGATGATGCCAGTCCTTGTCTTGTATGTCTCCCCGTTCTACCTTGAGTAGACAATATACCATATCAATCAGAAACTGACCGTGAGCTTTCTCGTGTCTATAGCTGCGGTGTATGTCCGAGGCTGCTGTCGTCGCTGGCTGTGCCTCTTCTGTCGATACCGACTGCACCTGTCCCAGTGCTGCGTTCAAGGATGCACTCGGGTCTTGCTTGCAGAATTCTTGTACTGAAGATGATATCACAGGTATGTCTATCAGCTTCGTTTTTTTGGGTTTTTTCAAATTCGATTTTTGGCCACTAGAACTAATTTTTTTCTCCCTCGCCAGTTGCTGGAGAATTGCACGAGGAACGGTGTGGAACAACTCCTGAATAAATGGGCTGTATATATTTTTAAATCCACATAATCTCTTCCAAGCAGTTGGAAATAGTTATTTAATTCATGATTTCTAATTATTTTTGGGTTGTGTTTGTTGAGTTGATGCTGTAGATGGACTATCTGCACGGATATATATTGACCTCTGGTTGGGAGAGTAGCAATCCTACTTTTTTTCGTAAGGGCAATCTCCCTATGACTACTGAATTATGAGATATGGTCATGTTTAAAGCATTTAAAACAGTAGATATTTCTATCGCAACCAGGTGACCGGATCATCAGTATAGATTTCTTCTACGGTCATTGAGTGGACATGAGTGACGTGATCGAGACTTTGGCCCCATTTTCATGCATCTACGGAGTCCGCTCGGACATTGGGCCTAGGCTCTTGCCAGGCGTGTCAGATCTGACAGTGCTAAGGCCTTTCCCACCGCGCTCGAGGATTTGTCTTACTGGTGTCGAAATTGAGTCTGCGTACTCCGTATAGTGAGTGCATGATGCTTTAGTTACGAATGTTGGAAGACTACTCTACTTGTAAGCGAAAATGATCTACTTGCAATCAAGTAAAAAAGTACCCATGGAAGAACTCCATCATTGCGATTGCACGAGATTGATATCAAGAATAGGTGTGACAGGTAAAGAGAGCACATTCAAGTATTTTTGTCGTTCTGAACTTCATATTCTGGAATGACCCATCAACATCTAAGCGGAAGTCTCGAAGGCACCGGGGAAGCGCTTGATGTTCTCCTCGATCTGACCATGGCCACGGAGGAACTGAACGTAGGCACCGTCCTGGCGGAGCTTGCCCTCCTCGCGGAGCTGAACGTAGTCCTCACGGCGAACGGGGGTGAAGCCCCAGTTCTTGGAGACAATGATCTTTTGGCGGCCGGGGAACTTGTACATGGAGCGGCGGAGAGCCTCCAGAGCGGTGGGGCGGTGGGCGTCACGGGTACGGACAGACAGAATGATCTGGCCGATGTTGACACGGGCGACGAGACCCTGGGGCTTTCCGTAGGCACCACGCATACCGGTCTGCAGACGATCGGCACCAGCGCACGACAGCATCTTGTTGATACGGACGACGTGGAAGGGGTGGACACGGACACGGAGGTGGAAACCTTCCTTACCGGCGATCTTCACGAGGTACCTATTGACAAAAGTTATGAGTTTGCGTTCATGTAAGGCGGATGAGTTCGAGGGACATACTTGTTGGCGCAAATACGGGCGGCTTCGAGAGCCTCGGAGGACAGCTGCTCGTACTCGTTGGAGACCAGGTGGACACAGGTGGGGAAGTCGTCCACGTTGGCCTTCTTACGACCAAGATCGAAGATACGAATCTTAGGGTCGGGAACACCACGGTTGAACCGGGACTTGGGGTAGGGCTAAATGTTGATTCATGTCAGTCAAATCGATCTTCCAAAAAATATTTGATCCCCCAAAAATCGATAGCCCAAAGCCCAGCAATTTTCCTCTGCAATAGACGACATCCCAGCCACGGCGAGTTGGTTGTTGGCGAGCGTGGTGCTCTTTGGTGTACACTCCCCACAACCGAGATGTCCATCCATCACCCACACAAATCATTCTCCCTCCTTTAGATCGAAACGCACCTTGTTCTTGCAGTAGCGGTAGCATCTCGCGGGACGACGGGCCATTTTTAGTGCTGGAGGTGGGGTGAATGCACTTCCTGCGAACTGGTTGTTGGTTGTCGGTGGTGTCGAGGGTTCGAAAAGAGAGAGAGAAAAGAGCCCGCCAGTCACGGGATTACCTGATTTCCAAGCAAATGTGCTAACCGGTGGCAAAGCCCTAACCCTATGCGAGACGGGCCAATCAGGAGCCGCCAGCCTTACCGCTTTGGGCCAATGGACTATCGGAGGAACATCTATACGCTGCGGCGAGTTTTATCAGCATCGTTTATCCGTAAAGGATAATTAATAAGACCTGCATGACATGGTGTTATTCGTGGCGTTGGTCCGTCTACAATATTTACGCTTGTGCTTAAAGCTACGCATGCGCCAATATAATTAGTCCATGGGTAGATTTGTACTAATCTCATATGCGGCGAGAATCATTCAAGATCTCGCGGCGCATATGTCGCGACCCGATCAACCCCATACTCTTCCACTGACGAGCCGTCTAAACCGAGCTGGTAAGGATGTCGGAGTCACCGGCATCCAGGATGGCCATGGTGGCGCAACGGAACAGCTTACCGCATGCGGTACCAAGCTCGATCTTCAATCCTGATTAGCAATCCTGCAGCACTTTTGCCTCAACAAAGAATGACTCACGTTGTTGCCTGAGAAGTGGTGGACGGGAGTCTTGGCGAGCATGGCGTAGTACTCAAGCTCGGACTTGCGGAGCGGAGGAGTGTTCGCAGCAATGATGACCAGCTTGGCCTTGCCCGAGCGCAATGTGTTCATGGTAGACTTTGCGCCCAGGGTGACCTTACCCGACTTCATCACCAGAGCGAGCCTAGAGTTGACCTGCAATATGCTGTTAGTCAAGGCGCACGACCGCATTGCGACAGCAGCAACTCACATTGTCGGAACCCTTCTTGGACTTGTTGGGGGCCATCGTTACGCGGAAGTTCCTGAGGACTTCGGTTCGGTATCGAAATAGGGGTCAATTGTGCGCTCCGGCCTGGTTTGTTGAAGTGGAAGCAACCATCGCAAGTGAAGATCTCGAGCAATACTGTGGACACGGAGATACATTCATCCGGAAACCTTAGTCGAACCGCCAAGCCTTGGTCGCCTGAGGCGCAAAACTCCTTGAAACCGTGATGTATAGTGCTTTTAGGATATCACAACATTCAGTCCTTGTTATAATTGTCAAACAACGAAGCATTCACACGGCCCTCGGATCTAAGCTTCTATATATTCCTTCCTCTCTCATTCGCTGTTCTGAGTCGTTCTGACTTCGTATTAATCCGGCCCCCGACCCCGTTACGCGTATTTTTAGATACAAGAGTAAGGGATCCGCATTCCTCACCTTTGACTTACGGTCTGCAACCGTTCTTTTATCTCATTCCAGCCCTCTTCCGGTAGTCTGTGTTCGATGATTCTTCTCTTTCGATCAACCATGTGGCACGTAATCAAACTGTGACAGCTTTCACTACATTCCTGGCCTTCAATCTACCCATACAAGCGCTCTCCACTAGGTGTCCACTAGGCTTTGACCGCCGATTGCGCTGCACCCTGAATTTCCTCCCCTTCTCCTGACCACCAATTGAAGCGCAAACTGGAGGCTTTTGGCATTCTTTCTATATAATTTCGCCAGAGTCCACGGACTGGGGACCCTGCACCATGTCAGCAACGCCTCGCAAGCCTGGAACTCCCGGCAATTCCAGCAAATCATCACCCGCAGATCCGCACTCAACCAACGGGTCCACCACACGAGGGCATGCACGCTCGCCCAGTGCCGCAACCAACGGACTCAACCGTTCCCCATCTTTAAGAGGTTCTACTCCCGTCTCTGCGCGCGCGGCTGCAAGAAAACCTGGCCGCTCCAACCTCAGCATGTCGAACGTTCCACGAGTCTCCAACGACCCCTCTGAAGAAGAGGCGCGGGCCCAGAATGCCGCCCTCATCGAAGACCTACGATCGCAGCTTCAAAAGGCTGAAACGGCTTCTGAACAATACCAGAAACAGCTAGGCGTTTTGCAAATGCGTCTTGATGAAGCAATCAGTGAACAAAGCAAGTTGGAGGACCAGGCCCACGAGCGAGACAGTCGGATCGAGGCCCTTAACAATGAAATCCGGGACCAAGGTCGTCAGATCCGCGACTTGGAACAGAACCACGAGTCCGAGCGGAATGCCATGCTGCAAGAGAAGGAGCAACAGACCAGCCGGGAGGAAGAAATGCAAGCGACAATCCAACGATTGAAGGATTCAGTGGCGCAAAAGGATATGCGCATGAACTCAGAAGGTGACCGCCACCAAGTCTCTCGATCTTGTAAGGCGACATAACTCTTGTGATCGCTGAGTATATAACAACCAGAGACTAACTTTCATACAGCTAGCTTCCGCAACCGATCTTCCCCCGACGTGGATGGCCAATTCGCACCCTCTTCGCATCTCGAGCGTAGCCCCTCCCGCAACAACTCTACACTTCTCCTGCAGAAAGATAAGGTCATCGAGTCACTACGCCTCGAACTGGCCGAGTCGCAAATTAAACTTGTCGAGATGGAGAATGCAGGCGGTGGCCGCCAGCGTGAACTAGAGAAAGACCTGCTCGAGGCTCGCATGGCTAACGCCCGCTTGATGGAGGATAACGAAAGCTACCAACTCCTACTCAGCGAGAAGACCCTCACTGGAGACTTCACTAAGGGCGAGTTCATGCGGGATGCCCACCCTACAAAGGAATCATCCGGTGGCCTGGGATCTTTGGCAGATGAGCTAGAGTCTGTGGATGAGTCGCCTGAGAATGATTCCAGCCCTAAGCCAGAGGGAGAGATCAAGGCCCTCAAAGACCAGAACAAAGCCCTTACACTTTACATTGAGCGTATCATTAGTCGAGTTCTCATGCACGATGGGTTCGAACACGTCTTGGACCGGAATGAAGACCAGTCTGGCGGGAAGTCAGGCAATGACAAGGACCTTCCCCCGACCCCTCCAGAGAAGGATGACGCACATTCGTCTTTCTTGCAACGCGCCAAGTCGGTTGTCGGTGGTCAAGGTGCTCGCCCTTCAGCTCAACCCCGGTCGCGCCCAACCAGCATGATGCCTCCCCCCACACCATCGCAGAGCAATCCAAACGAGAACCCCAACACCGCACCAAGCATTCCCTTCCGCACTCAGTCTATGAGAGCTAGCCACCGCCGCAGTCGCTCTGAACAGGTCGACACCGGAGCTGCCAATGTCGTTGGACAGATCTATCGCGGACGCAACTCCGGCGGACCGATCAGCCCGACTGCTATGGGCCCTGGATCGCGCCAGAGCATGTTCTCCGGAGCAGCGAGTTATATCTCTAGCATGAGCCGTGCTCCATCCATGTCCAGCCAGCCAGACCGGGCCGGCCACAGCAGCTCCCCTAGTATCACGAGTGACCCTCACGGAGATACTGCCTCTACTGGGGCCACCTCCAGCCCTCCTCGCTCTAGTGGAGGAATGAACAACTACACTGGAGCAGTGATGCAGCAGGATAAACTGCGCCCCCTGCGTCTTGTCAGCGAAACCGCCAGACTCAAGGAGGAGGAGGACGCGGCCCGCAAGAAGGCTAACCGCGCGAGCTGGATTCCGTGGTTAAACCGCGCCAACGCCGAAGAACCGGCGCCGCAGTAGGCCGTGTTCCTCGGGCAGTATGATTTGATGTGATCTGAAAATCGGTCTTTACCATATTTTTAACATACCCATACCCTCTATGATGCACATAGCACGATTCATGTATTCCCTGAGTTTTCATGTTTCTTTTGACGCAATTTGAGTCCTTCCCCCATCAATGTGGTTTTCGTAAAGGAGTCTGGACATCGCGGCTTATTTCGATACATATATCATTCCCCATGTGAGAGTTACGATGTATTTGCGATGACTTTATGTCATGTCCCCAATCTACATGTATGCTTTATTTCAGTATCCTCCAGTTGCGATGAGCTAGCACGAGCTGGCCATGTATCTATTTTGTAGAAATCAATGTGATGAAGAACCAAAACATGAAGCAGCTTAGATCGAAGTCCTATGAAATTTAAAGCCCAAAGTAATGAGTTATGCTCACATAGCTGAAGCTCTGATAGAACACGGAACAACATTAGTGCGTCTCCGCCTCCGGCCAGATTGGCGGTTGGGAGCATCAACAATCGTAGAATTCACCAATTGATCTCCAAAACAATAAATCACCATGCCCGGCCCTCTGTCCCTCTTCTCCGTCAATGCGGTTCTCGTCATGTCCGCTGACGACGGCTCCCGCATTTTCACCAAGTACTACTCGGCCCCCCATCCCCCCGCCGGTGCTGCCCCCAACTCGACCGACTACCCCGGCGCGAACCCATACCCCACTGTCAAGGAGCAGCGCGGCTTTGAAAAGGGCCTTCTCGAAAAGACCAACAAGTCCTCAAGCGATGTGATTCTGTACGACAACCGCATCGTGGTCTTCAAGATGGAGAGCGACGTCATGCTCTACGTTGTTGGCAGCGCCGACGAGAACGAGGTCCTGCTGTACAACGTTGTCCTCTCACTACGGGATGCTCTGGGAATTCTATTCAAGTATGTTCCTGTTATATTTGTTGGGGGTTTTGTTGCTCGCGGTTTCTAACATGTCTGTTTCAACCAGGGGCGCAACCGACAAGCGCACTATCGTCGAGAACTACGACCTGGTCTCCCTGACCATTGACGAAATAATCGATGACGGCATTATCCTCGAGACAGACCCCGTCATGATCGCCTCGCGGGTTAGCCGCGCCCCAGCCGCAGATGCGCCTAATATGAAGAACATCGATCTCTCCGAACAGGGTCTCATGAACGCCTGGGAGTTCGGTAAGCGCCGCCTTGCAGAGGGTCTGCGCCAGATGTAAACGGGGACACGAATATTTGTGTTGCGTTCTAAGGTTGGGGCTTTGATGTGATGTGTTTTTGGCCCTGTTGAAGCATTTCTTGACTATTGTTTTACCTACCCGCTTTTCTTCCTGGCTGGTCCTGGCGTCATACGGCTATTCTATTTTATTCTATCTTTTTTTCCTTGCTCAACTTGGTTATTTGTCCAGGGACCTAAAGTCATAGACCTGTTTCTGTTGATTTCGTTTCCATCTTACAAAATGACCTTGGCTGCATGATTGTTCTTTGTCCTTTGATATTGATATTGACAATGCTCTGCCGGGAACCTGCATAATTCATGATTCCATGTCCTGAATCTAATGAGTGCAATGAGCAAAAGCAATAGCCTCGAATCCTTGCTAAGGGGTTTCATTTTTCTACAAGTATTGAGTCAACTATTCTAGGTGCCAAATCCCCATGACTGGCTGGATGATGTGTATACTGGATATTCTTGATCTCTGAACGCCGCGACAGAGAATAGGCTCTGTAGCGCGATGAGGCACGCCATCAGGGAGAATAGTTCATTCTTATTATAAACCAGATGAAAGCTTTTCTCATAACAAGGAGCCAAACAGTTCCCCATGAAAGGAAAAACAAAGGAAGCCACCGTTCGATAAGATCAAAATTCCAACATTTGTGCAGTACCCTCAAGATTGGAAAGCCACGGCACACGATACTTCGTCCAAAACTCCATGGTCGGCTTGACCTGCGCGAATGCATCGGGGTCGTCCAAAGTCCCAACCTGAACAACAGCAACACCCTTAAAAGCTTCGAGATCGGCCGTCTTGTAGATTGCACCACCACAATTGTCACAGAAATGGACAGTCAAGTTCATACCACTTTCATGGACTACACTGAAGCGCTTAGGTGTACCGGCAGTGATTTTGAAATCGTTCTCCGGGATCATGAAGTTAACCGTATTCGTGCCGCCGCTGATCTTCCGACATGATAGGCAGTGGCAGGTAGCCTGTATACCAAGCTCAAAATTGAGCTCCTTTGTAGATTGTCAAAGGTCTTACCATTCCCTGTGGCTCTCCGGCAAACTCATATTGGAGGTTTCGGCAAAGGCAGGATCCGGTAGGCATTTTGGCGTTGATAATTGGGAAGGTGTGGCAATGAAGTGACTACGCGGGGCTGAAACTGCTCTTATACGGATCTTTCAGCTGTCACTTGACTCTTTAACTCGTACCTGTCCTCGTGTTAAAGCCACTACAGTCATATACTACGTAAGCAAGTGTTTTCGATTCTCGAGCTCGGGTGGATATCGCCACTGTAGGGCTGGCCCGTCCTCGTATTCTTGATCGCTTTAATTAACCAGAACGGTTGGTGACGTGACCTACATTGTAGAGGAATTACATGTCACTTTTTTGGGTTACGCTTTAGTTGAGGAGCCTGAGAGTGGTAGTAAGTTAGTTCTCCGAAATGTTTGTTCTTTTATGCAAGCCCTAGAAAATTTGCGCTAATGTTCCAAATCAGATATCGGTTTTTCTTTCCTTTTTCCTTTTTCCTTTTTTTTTTGGATGAGAATAGGCGGTGATCCAATTGAGCGATAAAACCCAAGTTGGGGTTCTCTAAAGCCAAATCCTGGGCAGTGCGACCCTTGTTATCCAGTATAGAAGGATTGGTTGACGGGTGATCCAGGAATGCCCTCACAACATCGGAATGGCCGTGGACAACAGCCAAATGTAAAGGAGTTAATCCCTGTTCATCGGCCTCGTTGGAATCAGATATTCTACGTATATGAAATTTCCCGATGTCCATGCATAGCCGCAAGATGGAGAGGCATATGCCCCGTATCATCCCGTAGGCCAAAATCGGCACCGTGATGAAAAAGAGCAACGATTTCATCCAGTCCATTGATGGCGTTTCATGCAAGGAGGTTCGACCAAAGGCGGAGGGGTCTCTGGCATCGATATCAAATTTGCGAGATGCAAGAAGGACTTTTACTGTGGAATTGTGACCATTTCGCAAAGCGAGGTGTATTGGGTCCCAAGAAGTAGGGATGTTCGACCACGCAGGTGGGATACCCAACCACACAGGTGGAACAAGGCCATCTTTTGAATCCAGAAGAAATTGCACCATGGAATTATCTCCGTCTTTGCTGCCCGTTTCATTGCCCTGAATCCGAGAAATGGACGTCCTGCCCAGGACGGCTCCGCACTGTGACCGAGGACGAATATCCTTTCATTGCAGCCTATTCCAAAAGCAGATCTTGTGATCACTCCAGCCATGTTCACGGCGCCACCTAGCTTGCCCATCTTTCCGACTGTAGACTTGATCCACCCCGCGACTGATTGACCGTTGCGCATATCAATGGCAGTGGTTATGTGCTTATCAGAGTTAGGCAATCACTGAATTGCCTCTCCTAGTGCTTTTCCTTGGTATCGGCCAGCAAGGTATCAGTGCACCGCGAGATGCGAGGAGCTTCGCTGTTGCGAGCCCCATGCCCAGAGGCTGCGCCGTGGTGCTCTGCAGTATTGCGAGAATGATAATGACCAGAGCCATGGCAGGATAGTGATAATCCACCCAAATAATCCCGGTTCAAATCTTCAATAAAGTGTTGGCTCAACTGCTGGATAACTATGGATAACAATCACCAAGTAAATGTGCAAGAGAGGCAAGTATGCGCGCACCACAAAATAGGCAGGTTTCCGCTATCGGAGCTCCACAGATCGGCCGTGCTATTTTCCGCAATATAGGGAGTAGGGCTCACTTCCTTCATCTCCCCAAATGGATTCAATTCGAGAAAGTGTACACGAGATTGGTCATACGCGGTCATTCACAGGTTGCAGCACAGTAAGTCTGATGGTGCCCGGTAATGCCAATCTCTAACCAGAAAAGTGTCGAAGTCGGCATGTCAAATGCGATGAAGGACGCCCGACGTGTTCCATGTGTGAATATCTCGGTATAACTTGTGAGGGATACAAGAAAGATATCTTCTTCGACTTTGAGAGTTCATCCGGCAATCATGCGGTGCGCTTTCGCCGACCGTTGCTCTCGCTTGAGGACCGTGAGCGAATGAGTAAATGGCTTACTTCGAGTGTTCCTCCCAAGCAAACTCTGAAGATATTATCTCATATCGATGAAGAATGCGAGCAAGCATCTTCCTCGGATGATATTGACATCCATCGAGGCCCCTTTGGCGCTTTCAGAATCAACCAGGGGGGAAGCGCTGTGCCTGTGATTGTGCCCTGTGAGGCAGTCGTGAATGTGAACCACCCAGAAGACACAGAATCAAGTCCTCCGCAAGGTCTCATTACTATGAATAACCATTATGAACTATCCTCACCGCTACCCCTTTCGCCCTGGTCACAAGGCCTGATGCACCTCATTTTCGACCAGCCCGAAAACGTACCCAGTCCTCCTTTTCCAGGATACTTAGAAGCTATGTTAAATGCACAAAGGGGAAGCAACACAGAATTACATGAATATATGCCAGTAGGCTTTGTGCCTGACCCTTATTACAACAACGCCATATCACCAACCTCTCTATCTTCCACGAGCACCATGAAATCTGTACCCCATGACGCTGTCTTCCTTCTCAAGCACTACGCCTCGGCGGTAATAAGCTTGATGACTCCACTTAGGCACTCCAAAACACCCTGGCATGTTCTTTTTATTCCTCATGCCAAAAACTGCCTTGCAGCTCTGGCTCTGAATGATGAAATGAGCCATGCCTGTCTATGCGCATTCTACGGGATGTTGGCTATCAGTGCATTTAGTCTGGGAGGGGTCTCTCGGTCTCAGACGTGGCTTGAAAAAGCCATGATATATAAGGAAGAAGCCCGAAAGCATGCGCGGATGATGTTAATGACTGCCTATGATGTCCCCAAGGTGGCCAAATACAAATCTATTCTGATGGCCTTACTTACTATGGTACAAGTTTTGATGTTCTCAGGAAATAGAAGCGAGACTGAGTGCTACTTCCTCGAAGCGGAAAAGTTCATTCGGTTAAGAGGATTGAAGCGCAAGAAATCCCGCAAGGTCCGTCTACTTCATCACTGCTATGCGTTTGAGCGCATTATACATGAGAGCATCTTCGTCTGCGGTGCAAACTCAATCCAGCGGCATCATATTCGCACAGCAATTGAATCAAGTGGGCTGGGAATATATAGTCTTGACAGTCTATCATTCCGGCTCACTGGCTGGAAGAACTTGAACCAAGAGATGATGAGAGTACGCGGACAAGAGGAGGGGGAGAACGACCTACATCTTGAACGTCCGGGCCTTTGGTCTTCTACGCTTTATCCCGAGATATTTGGTATCCCAGAACAATGGGTCTTCCTTTTATCTCAGGTGATCCGACTTGGAAAAGAGAAAGATGCAGCAGAGGGAGAAGATACAACAAATTGTCTCAGCCTAAAAGATTTTATCGGCCGAGCGAAGACACTCGAAGATTCGATCAACAATCTTCACCTACCCAGCCGGAATACGTCCGCACCTGAGAATGTCAACTCTCAACTCGACCAAAATATAATCGATAATATGCTAGAGGCAATGCAGAATGCACTGGCAATATATTTCTACCGTCGAGTTCATGATGTGGATGCATCCATATTGCAGACAAAAGTCGTGGGTGTTTTGGACCGATTACTACGCTGTGAATATGCAGACTCTACAGTGGTGCACGGCTCAGCGGGGTTCATCTGGCCTGCCTTCATTGCAGCGTGTGAAGCCGAGGATTCTTCTGTCCAAGCGTCATTTTCTAATTGGTTTGAAAACTCGGCTTGTCGGAGCGGTCTTTCTTGCTTTACAGATACATTGGACAATATTCAGAGGATATGGCAGGAGAAGTCTTGTGCCAATGGGAAGAGTGTTACTTGGTTGGATCTGATGAAGAACACTGTGCCGTTGCAGTCACAATTATGATTTATGAAGCGATGTTTTATGCTAGTGTCTGTCTTTTGTATATCGATAGGACCAAGGGTTGGTTCTGGCCATAGCCATAATCTGGTAAACCTGTGTCGACTTCATGCTACCACAATGTACAGAGTATTGTGTGTATGACCATTGACCGCTTTATTGTCTCTAACCGCCCGAGTAGATCCTTTTGAAACTGTCTCCTTGAGCACGTTTCTTGTTTTTTGCCCACTTTGGTAGTCGCAATTTCCGCAGCTTTTCCAACAATGCCCAGCCGGTCATATTTTTAACCGTCAAAACGACTAATGCCCCAGATACCAACATATCACTCTTGGCACTGGACCTCATCAAGAATTGTGGCTGTTTGAGCCAAGAACTTCAATCTAGAGCAATATGCTCAACTTGCGTGTGGCCGCGTAAGATGCGCGCTAGCCTTTGACTCCATACCTACAACCACACTGCCTTTATTAATGAAAAAAATGCGGAATTCTCTTGGCATTGTCGATCCATCAGCCTCGCCTCGCCTTTCAAATCTCCACGCGGCCCGAATCCGTTCCATAAATGGCAACAAAAGAGTTGCAGTAACAGTTCTAAATTCCTCCTTATGCGGGGGGCCGCGTCACTTACCACTACCCTCCTGTTCATTGGTCCGGGACCCTGCTTCTCTACATGAAGTATTTACTTCATGGAGATTGAATACCGGCGGAATAGACTTACGAGTACGGGTTTCCAACCACCCTGTCGCAGCGAGGAGAAAATGCACCTATAGAGTGGCCCTTTTCGACTTCGCTTGATCAGCTGAGCACAACCTTTTAGGTCTGGGTCCTCGCGAAATACGTTTCTTTTGATGCTAATGCAAATTCCTGAGTATCCCGTCTACAAGGTCCGGAGAATGACTGGGGTATAGGCGGCATGGTCTATCCCGCCAACCAGATGGTAGCCGAAGTAATTAAATTTCACTTCAAGAGCCTTGGCGAGAGAAAGATGGATTTTTGTGCTCAAGGATGAATTGATGTAGCAAAGGCTCTGCGGTCTCGAAAGAGAAGTTAGGTGGAGAGAAAAACGTATATAAGCTGGAGGTTCATCCCGCAAGAGAAGAAAGATTTCTTCATCACCAGCAACAAGCAGCAATTGACAACCAAATTACTTGATCAGTCATGGTTTTCTTCTCCAAAGTTGTCTTGATTGGATTAGCTGCTATTGCAGCAGCTCATCCAGGCCATGAAGATCACTCAAATCCAGCTCTGAAGCGAAGCTTTCTTCATCACTCCCGACGTAGCTTGGCTGCGTGCGCGGAAAAGACCGAGTTCCGTGCCCTTCAAGCCCGCGCAGCTTCTCGACGAAGGGATATTGCAAGGAAACATGCGAAGAGAAGTACTGACTCCGGTGAGTCTTGCAGAAGGTACTGTTTATTCACCACAAATATACTAACGATTGGCAGAGTTTCTCAAGGTCAGAGATCTCTCAGATGTTCTGGCCACCTCTCATTTGTCTGACATAACTGGTGTCACGGCTGACTCTTCCTCTGATGTCTTCTTCTCCGAAGATGTTTCCTGCATTCTTTCCCCGGAGGGTGAGGTCGGCCCCTTCTGGGTCAAGGGAGAGCTGATTCGGTCCGACCTAGTTGATGGTGAACCAGGTGTTCCAGTGGTGATGGATGCTCAATTCATTGACATAAACACCTGCGAGCCAATTGTTGATCTTTACTGGGACGTCTGGAATTGCAACTCGACTGGTGTCTACTCCGGAGTCCAAGACAGCAGCAATGGAAACGGCAATGACGCGAGCAACCTCGATAACACCGCTCTGCGAGGCCTCCAACCGACGGATTCAGATGGAGTGGCCCAGTTCCAGACAATTTTCCCTGGTCACTATAGTGGTCGGGCAACCCATGTTCATGTCATCGCTCATGTTGGCGCAACTGTTCTTTCCAATGGTACCCTTACTGGTGGGAATATTGCCCATACTGGCCAGATGTTCTACGACCAGGACCTCATCAGTCAAGTTGAAGCGCTGTCTCCATACAGCGAGAATACAGCTGCGATTACTCTCAACGCCAATGACCGCGTTCTGGCTGGAGAGACTGAGAACAGCGATTCGGACCCAGTTTTCAATTATGTTCTCCTTGGTGATACCGTTGAAGATGGTCTCTTTTCTTGGATTACTGTCGGCATCGACACTTCTGCTAGCTACAGTGCGAGCTATGCAGCACTTCTTACAGCTGATGGAGGTGTTTCGAGCTCCAGCAGCTCTGGTAGCGGAAGCAGTGGAAACGGTGGAAGCAGCGGTGGAAGTGGAGGCAATGGTGGAGGTAATACTGGAAGTGGACCTGGCGGTCCCAACTAAGCCTGAAATACCTGTGCGAGTGCTTCGAAATGCTCAAGTCAGGTCAAGTATTCATGGCAAGGCATAGGGGCTTATGTTGCTTGTATGGGATTAGCCCGTCGGCAGTGAAAGGTAAGATCTGGCGGTGCACAGACGAATGAAGCACCGGGAGACTCAGATGACTTCTCCTTTATACTATCTGTCAATAATCTCCTGAGAATTATAAATCACCGTTTCAAACGACATTCAAACGGTGCGATCTTGGTGAGTTCAATGCCCTGTTGCCTTGAGCTGCTCACGGAGCGATCTTTCATTCACCCCCATGATCAGGCCGGAGATGAGGCATTCCTATGGTGCTATAGTAACCTTAGTCACGGCTTTTGAACTTCCAATCAGTAGAGAGATTATGTCAATAATGAATCGGCCAGTCTGTAGCGGTAGATATCCACCGCTTAGCTCCCACCTAAGTTGGAGTCACGGGTACCCCGGGTCTTGTCAAGTCTTAGTCTAGCACTGTTCAAAGGTTGCCATTAACTCTTATATAAGCTACCATGCTTCTTAATTTGGTAGAGCTGTTAAGTATGTACTGCTTGAACTGGCGTCCTGAGATGGTTGACTGTCAATCATTGTTGCGATATCGCTATACTTGCACCAACAACCTATTAGTCCTACCTTATCTCGAAGGTAGCAATACCCCTCAGGGGCGCGAAGCACGGAAGTCTACAGGATATAAAATAGGAAAGTAAACACGGCGAAATAGTGCGGAATTGGGCAGTAGATAGTGGACATCAAGTTAGGCAAGTATCCGCGACAACCCCACATACCACTTGTACGAAGTATACTTGCGAAGATGAGGAGTAATTCCAAACTGCTGCTATTTATTGGAGATATTGACCCTCAACATGTCATTTTGTGTATTCAAAATTCTTCCTATTTCTCGAAGTCCCTCCCGCTGCGAGTAACAGAAGCACACAACAGCCCCAACGAACCACATCATTCAAAATGGACGTAACAGGAATCGCGCTTATCACCGGTGGAGCTTCAGGCATTGGCCGTGCATGCGCGAAGGCATTCGCTAGAGATGGCGCCTCAGGAATTGCCTTGCTGGACCTGAACACCGAAGCCCTGGCCGCAGTCAAAGCCGAGATCGAAGAGCTACTCAGAAAACAACCTGGCTCAAAGCCCTGCCGAGTCGAAACATACCCCACAAACATCACCGACGAGAACCGCGTGAATGAAGTCGTACAGGAAGTCGCCGCAACCTTCGGCCGACTGGACTACGTCGTCAACGCCGCCGGAATTGCCATGAAGCACCCAGGCGGCGCGGCATTCTGCGAAACATCCGACTGGGAGCGCATTCTCAACATCAACCTGACGGGAACATTCTTCGTCCTGCGCGCTGCTGCGAAGATCATGTTGAAGCAGGAGCCGATCCGATCTTCTATTAATGGTCGGCCATTGCAGCGCGGCTCTATTGTCAACTTCTCGTCTATTCAGGGTATTGCTGGAATCGCCCTGTCCACTGCATACACTGCGAGCAAGCATGCCATTATTGGACTGACGAGGACTGCGTCGGAGGATTATGCCAAGGATGGATTGCGCATCAATGCTATCTGTCCTGGATACACTGAGACTCCACTCACGACGAAATCGCCTCAGATTCTGGCGGCTATGAAAGAAAAGGTTGCCAATGCGGTGCCTATGGAGCGTATGGGTCAGCCTGAGGAGATTGCCGATGGAGTCATTTACCTGGCTGGTGGGAGGAGTTCGTTTGTTACTGGTACGGCTTTGTTCGTGGATGGTGGTTACACACAGAGATAAATGGTATTTATAACATTCAGACTGGAATTAATTTGCATCTATTGTGGAATGCGAAACAAATCATTGAGATATACACTTGCACGGTCCCATCGGGTGTGACGTCACCACCTCTATGTATCCGGCACTACTTCTCCTCTTTATCGAGATCATTTTGTGATTTAACAAGTCGAGAACAACAAATTGGCCAATCATTTATCGCTTGTAATAAGCACTTCATGTTCTCACGTCAGCCGAGTTCTTGACCTAAGTGCAAGACTCCGACCCAGATCACTCTAAACTCCTGCAAGAGTTATGAACAATCCTGGGAGAATACTCCATTCCTTGCTATCCAATAGCTCTAAATTGAGCTCTCCTTCGTGGATTGGAGCCCCAGTCACACTTAGATCTATCTCAACGACTTCAAACAACCATCTACGACTACGGCATTTTACGAGCCAGTCTCGGAGAATTCGCTTTTCGTCAAGCAAACCCCGCATCTCTACACAGCCCACAAACTTCCAATCATCAAGAGCAAAGATGAGCAGCCAGCGTGTCCCAATAGAGCCACAGCGTGTAGACGCGCCGCTCACACAATGCGCCACATTCCTCGTGGTATCAGTAACCAACAAGCCCGACGCAATTGAAACCGTGCAATCGACATTATCAGGCCTAGAAAGTCTAGCCAAAAATGTCTCTATCCGGGATCTTGGCGCTCAATTTGCTTGCACTGTCGGCATAGGAAGTGAAATCTGGGATAAGCTCACAGGCCTCCCCCGACCAGCTGAGTTACATCCATTCCGTGAGATCAAAGGCGCAAAGCACACAGCAATCTCCACGCCGGGTGACTTGCTCTTCCACATCCGCTCTGAACGTCGCGATATTTGCTTCGAGTTTGAGCGCCAGCTGATGGACCAACTCGGGGATTCTGTCGCCGTCATCGACGAAACAGTCGGCTTCCGCTACTTTGATGTACGCGACCTCCTCGGATTCGTTGATGGAACAGCCAACCCCGTCGGACCGGCCGTTCCGTCTTCAGTTCTTGTCGCAGAAGAAGATGGCCATGCTTCAGGTGGAAGTTACATCGTTGTGCAGAAATATACACATGATCTACCGGGATGGAAAGATCTCTCGACAGAGCAACAGGAGAAGATTATCGGCCGCACGAAGATCGATAATGTTGAGCTCGATGATGCAGAGTCTGGACAGCGCTCGCATAAGACGCTTAGTACGATTGAAGATGAGAATGGGAAGGAGCATGGTATCCTTCGGGATAATATGCCGTTTGGATCGCCGGGCTCGGGCGAGTTTGGGACTTACTTCATTGGGTATACGCGTCGCTTGTGGGTCATTGAGAAGATGCTAGAGAATATGTTCGTAGGCGATCCTCCTGGGTTGCATGATCGCCTTCTTGACTTTTCGAGGCCGCTTACTGGTACGACTTTCTTTGCTCCTTCAGCTAGCTTGTTGGCTGGGTTGGGGTCTGATTGAGAGATGTTTTGTTCGATTCGTTTTCCCCGTCACTGTGTAGTGTGCAGGTCTTCCAAATCCACCCTTTGGATTTGTATTAGAGTTGTTCTCCAGGAGGAGTTGGTGGAAGTTGATTCTAATATAGTCTTCACATATAGTCATAAGCCACAAGTCCTTTCACATCCTACATCATTAACCCACCATATTAAGTAACTATCCCCCGAATTGCTCGAAAAGCGGCAAAAACAGATGAAAAAGAGAGCCCCAAGTAGGGCGAAAACTATGCCTGGAACGGTATACTAGCTTCGAGACATTCGTGTAAAACCTGTCCCGTACTTCTTTCATGAGTAGCATGGTATATACCTTTATGACCCCTGTTGTACAAGGTGCTTTTTAAATGTCAAATATTGGATGCCCATCGCTAAAACGCCAATGTCAAGACAATAGCAAAAATGATAAAATTGATCCCATAATTATCCTAAACATGAAATTCAAAGCCTGGAAGCGGCAATCTGGGGGTTTGAAATCTTAGTATCAGGAAGCTTATCAAATGACAACCCCTTCCACCCTTCAGCCTTAGACTGAGCGCATCTCCGGCGATACTCGACGGCACTGCCAGAGTACCGAGCCACACTGCGAACAGTCTTGCCTTTAACATTCTTATTAACACCAGTCATCCAACTATCGACTTCATTCGACAGAGCACCCTTGCTGCACTCAACAACGTGCTCAGTCCAAGCATCCACAGCTTCTGGTGTAGGCTCCACGTAAGAGTAATTATTATCCTTGCAGTACTGAAGCAAGTCCGAAATAACACCTACAGCATGCTCAATTGTCCGAGGAGCGTTGCCGAATGGCTGGTGAGGTCCAAGAACCATAAACATGTTAGGCATAGAGTTGGCCGTCATACCCAGGTACGTGCGTGGGCGGTGGTCAATCCAAATTGCTTGTTTGCCTTCGTTGTTATCGCTAGAGCCGAGGAGCGGACGGCCATCTTTTCCAGCCCAATCAATCGAGCTGAATGCACCAGTGATAGCATCAAAGCCAGTGGCATAGATCAAGACGTCCAGATCATGGTGCTTGCCGTCGGATGTGATAATGCCTTTCTCTGTAACTCTCTCAATGGGCGTCTTTTGCAGATCGACAAGATTGACGTTGGGCTGGTTATAAACTTCAAAGTATCCGCTCTCGAGAGGTACACGCCGGGTGCCGAAGCCGTGATTCTTAGGAATCAAACTGTCTGCCACCTTTGGGTCGTGCACTCTCGCTCGGATTTTGCTCGCCATAAAGTCGGAATAGAGCCTGTTCGCTTCGCGGTCGGTATATGTGTCGCTAAATGTGCCGAGCCATTTGGCGAAACCGGGCTTTGCGTATATCTCTTCCCAGAGCTTGAAGCGCTCTGCCTCTGACACTTCTAGGGACTTACGTGGGTCCGCTTGGTGCATGAAGCATCCTGGGGTCTCGGCGCATAGTTGGAAAAGGGAGTCGTAGTTTTTGCGGTGTTGTTCCATCTGCTCGAGGCTGATGGGCTCATTGCGAAGTGGTGCTGACCAGTTTGCTGTTCGCTGGAAAACGCTCAAAGATTTGATACTAAATTCTTTGGATACTGCGGTGATGGTCTGAATTCCTGTAGCACCAGTGCCGATCACTCCAATCCGCTTGCTGGCTAGGTCGCGCCTCAGGTCGAAGTCTTGCGGCCAACGGGATGTGTGGAAAGCTTCGCCTTGGAATTTTTTGATATCGGGAATAGCTGGAAGTGTCGGGGTAGACAGGAACCCCATGCAACTGATGAAAAAACGGGTCCGATAAAAGGTACCGGCTTCATCACAAAACAGCCAGGTGTTGCTCTTATTCTGCCATTGCGCTGTCTTGATGCGGGTGTTGAATTGAATGTCCTTGCGCAAAGTGTGTTTGTTACAGACATACTCGATGTAACGGTGGATCTCTGATTGTGGAGCGAAGGATTCTTTCCAATGCCATTCGTTAAGCACCTCCTTATCCCACGAGTATGCATAGGAGAGCGACTCGGAATCGACGCGTGCGCCGGGGTAACGGTTGCAGTACCACGTGCCTCCAACATTATCGGCCGCTTCGATGACCCCTACACGCCAAGACGGGAAGCGTTCTCGGAGGTTGTGGAGTGCACAGACGCCGGAGAGGCCAGCGCCGATGATGAGAATGTCATATTGTTGGTCTGTGGTTGTGGAGGATCCCATCGTGAAGGGGATATTGTATTATGTAGAAGCCAGATCTTGTTATTATCGGACTGTATTTTGATTCTCGTGTGGATCTTTATAGACTAAGATCATGGAGACTTCTGTGCGAGGGGAGTTGGGGGAACGTTGGACATCATTCCGACTACCCCACGAGGACTTGGAAGTCATCGGCGTAGCCTTCCTGTTCCACAATGAAATGAAAGCCATTATCACAAGGTGTGATGTTCAGTTAGTGAATTTAAGGAAGTCGAGACCCGCGGATCAACAGTATGCTTATCTCCCCCACATTTATATCACGTGTCGAAGACACTTTCCTCTTTGATATTTGGTCATGCTGAACTTCGGATTGTCACTGAACAGCCAGTCATATGATCATAAGATAAAGTGCTCGATTGGGCAAGGCAATTCTAGAAGATAGGAGGATCACAACCAATGGTGGCGTGCAGGACTTATCCAAGGTCACCCTTTCCCCCGGTCATAGACTTTGGGCGTTGATAATAAGCCATGGCAGACCAATGCTCATAAGCCATAAGATACGGCTCCCGACGGTATGGCATGGTACATGGTGAGATATCTCGACAGATTGGCGAGGATCTCTTCAACCTAACAAGTGTATTCTCTTTTAACCGGGACAACTTCTTTATCATTCGATTGACTATTTTACCATACTCGGTTATGAGGATCAAATCATCGGCCTTTTAAAGTTGGATATTGAAAACAATGTTTTCAATCAGACCACGGCAGTCGATGTCTCCAAGGTTGAGATGTACGAGACGAGTATACAGTTCGTGGAACAAGCAGGCACAAAAAGAAACGTAAAGCCCAGTCATGGCCAGATGATCGCAATCGGCAGTGCCATTGGTATAGGCTTATTTCTCAGTACCGGTCAAGCCCTTTCAATCGGCGATCCTGGCTTCTGCTCGCCTACTGCCTCACATCTATCCTCTATTGTGTGACCACGGCAATGATCAGAATGAGCACATATTTACCTATCTCTGGAGCGTCCATGACTGACTTCGTGGACTATACGACTCACCATCTCTTGGGTTTGCTATGGGTTGGCTTTACTTCTACTATTTCGCCATTATTGTCGCCTTCAAGCTTACCGCGGCAAGAATTTTGATCCACTATTGGCCGAATGACGTGCATATCGGAGTATGGTCTACCGTTTTACTTGTTGTTGCCGTTGCTGGTCTCAACTTTTGTCTTGGGGTGTCTTTGCCGAAACTGAATTTTGGTTTGCCGGCGTCAAAGTTGTCGTGATCATCAGTCTGTTGATCCTGTCTCTTGTCATTATGTTGCCGAGCCATGACCGTCTTAGATTCCGTGGTCAATTCCAAGATTTTCCTTCTGTGACACTCGCACCCTAGATGTAGCGTGGGAAGAAAATGGACATGTACATTGTGTCTGGAGTCCTATTGTTGAGCCTACTTTTAGCACAGAGTAAAATCTCGAAGAAGTATTGATTGAGGTATTCTACAAGTCAGTAGTCTAAAATGGAAACAAAAATGGATCCACCCCCGACTGACCATCAGTCAGATATTCCGCAGACCAAGGAGCCGTTCTATCGTCAATCATGTTCATGATAGCCATTTCAGAAGGGTCCCACGATCCAATAGTGCCGAGGGGCGGAAATTGTGGGAAAGTATTGAAGTTGAACGATGAATCGACGGGTCTTATTGGAACAGAAGTAACTTCGAAGGGTGGTAACATGTCTGTTCTCTCATCGATTTGAGACCTTTGCGGCCCTTGTGTTTGCTCCTGTTCACGGGTTTGATGACGTTGGTGTGTCCTAGACCGGAACGTCCTAGGCGAATTCGTGTTCGTAGTTGAAGGCGAATTTGAGGTTGACCCTCGAGAATCTTTGCCATGCAAAGCTGTGCGTGCCATACGATAGATTGCAAGAGGATTCAAGACGGCTTCGGGTGACTCTTGAACAGGGGACCCAGGAGTAGAGGAACTAAGGAAGATGAGTGATTCGTTCGGAAAAATATATTGAGAAACATACCGTTCCTCATTCTCATCCAGCTCTCGCTCATTTATGGGCTCATGGGGTAGTTGAGGGTGGAGACCTGCTGCAATCATCATTTTCAAAACTGAAAGATACTAGACGCCAAGTGTTAGTGAATGGCTTTTGAGAACAGGTACCGTCACATACGCAATGCTCTGCTGTTGCAACAAGAGACCTCATTTGCATAAGTGCTTCCATATTCTTTTTTACAAGAGTCTTCGTTTCCTCCACCTCAAATACACTTAAAGCATTGGGGGATATCTTGTTTTGCTTTATGAAGTATAACATGACCTTCGTGCTGTCGTGTGCAATGATACACAGCCAAGTATCAGACAGAGCTTTCACCCCGTGCCGTGAAGCTTCAGCAATGATCTTCGAGAGTTCACGAGCATTGTCAAAGCAAGCTCTGCGGCAATTGTCCAGAAATTCTTGTTTGGCTGGTGGAAACTTATGATGTCGTCGAATGTGGAACAGATTCGGCATACCAATGCGGTATAGATCACACAAGGTTTGATGATAGGTACACCAAAGCAGAGTCAAAGCACCCAACTGCGATGACTCCTTCCGTGCGTAAATCGCGCCTGAATTCCACTTTAGACTCTGCGAAAGATCTCTCCGCCAGTTCGCAAATTCGGTTACCAATTGTAGAAATTCGGAATCAGACTCCCACGGTGGCTTCGAGGTATCAAGGTGCTTGACATATCTATACAACCCCGTTAGCCAGATTTGGATTCAATACGCTGATAGAATGACTCTTACCGGAGAACCTTCTTCCGGCTGCTGACGAGGCGGATGAAATAAGCCTCAATCCCCATGTTTTGAGCTGGTCGTGAAGGAGTTTGTTCACTCGGGATAAAGCCAAGTACCTTTCCTTGATCCAGCATTTCAGTGACACAGGCAGTTCCAAGGGAGAAGTTATGGCTGTGACAAGGAAGCTGGATCTTTAAGTCTTTGTCGTCGATGAGAGTGAGTTGGTTGACACCACTACCTACCCAACTATCCATGACATAGCAACTCCACATTAGACGCCGTTTGGACTCGTTGATTATTGGGCACGTAGAGTCAAGTCCATTGCAAAGTATGTCGGCTGAACTTTCAAGGTTGAGTTGCAATGCTTGTGACATCCTTGCAGTCACCCCAGAGAGCATAAAAGCAGAGGCATAGCTTCCGATCCGAAGATCGTGATCATAGAGGAGAATTGCGGTCTTGTTTCATATTAGTGTGAATATTCGTCGATAGGGGTGAACAGTATCTCACCATTAGTTTCTCTAGGGAGAGGTCGTCTAAGTCTACAAATATGCGAGCCTTGGCGATTTTGGCCCACTGATTCCCAGCTGTGAGTATTGTCTCGGGCGAAAACTGGGAATGGTAGTCTAAAGCCAGGAATCTGTTGAATTTTAGTATTTTCTATCTTTATAGTAAGGGCTTTGGTACTTACTTTGCTCCTAATGCGCAAACAATGTGAAGGAGTGATTCATCGTTGCAGCAGGTCTCAAAGTCTTCATCTAATCGCTGCATGAATGAGGGCTTGTGCACGAAACCATAACATCGTAATGGATGAACATGGGCGAAATATTCTTCGACCAAAATTATAATTCGATCTTTATCCGGTAGTTGTTGAGTGTGAAGCCTACATGAGTCAGTTTTGGAGTAAATCAAGAAATGTAAATGGATTCATACCACGAGATAGGATCAGTCACGCTATCTGGAGACTGCTGAGATGAGGATTGATTTTGCTGGAGCCGAGTTGGTGCCAAAGTAGAAATAAGAGATTTGTCATGAGCAGGGGCATAAGACGCGGAGCTTCTCTGTGGCTGTTGCATGCGACCCGGACTATACGAGCATTCAATATTTCTGCGGGAGCATCGGGTGCAAATATCACCCCCTGAGCATCGAGCTTTAGCCAAGCGACAAGCCTGGCATGATTTTGATACTCGGTGCCGAGCTGTACCGGCCTGTGTCAGTGCCGCATCCCGCCTCGCACTCCTAAGAGCTTTTGCAGCCAATCCCGAATTCTGGCCTGGATGACCCGGGCATTCCAATTTGAGACGTTCACAATTCAAACAAGAGGGCCAGCGCTCGTCGCATTTCACTTTGCGCGCCCGACACAGAAAACAGCCTAGATTGTCAGTCCCTTGCATATATCTCTTGGCATGGAATGACAGGTGGAGCTAACCTGATCGAGACCTGCGAGTGCCTGACGCAGGGCGAGACGTCGGATCACTCGGAGATTCTCTATCTCCACTCCATGATAACATGATGAGCCGACTTCCGCATATGCATCTAGAATGGTAGATACATGTGAGAAGAAAAGAAGCGAGGAGTACCGGAACTCGTTCGGATCTCGCTAAGAGCGGAGGGCCGCGGCAATACTGCTTCGGACCAGATTAAGCTTAACTGGCAATTGACAAACTGGAGTTTGTATGAATCTGGGGTAAATATCGGGGTTTTGTGCTCTTGTTCAGCGTCTTGGTCTACTGGTGGGCATTCATTGCTGTTCCATTGCCACCTTTTCGCCGAATAGGGATAGGTTGGGACTGTACAACAACTACAATCCCATCAATCAACTTAGACCACACGAAGTAATTTGATCAATTATTCACATGCCACCCCCAAGTTACGTCTCACGATTTCACCATTCCATCCCCAATTGACGTTTGAACTGCACTCTGACCGGGTCTCGTCAACCGCGGATATCGGCTCCTAAGACATACTCATTGGACGAGGAATATTTGATCGCGGCGAGTGGAGCTACATAAAAATCCGGGGTCCCAGGCATGTAACGAGGCCAAATGCGCTCTGTGGCATTTCCTCTTGTCTATTTGCTTGTCAAGGTCACTGAGATGGGCAAAGCACCTCAACTGAACAATGTCTACCTCATCAGCATGCTGACAACCATTGGGGGCCTCATCCAAGGCTTCGATGTGTCGAGCATGTCTGCCATCATTGGCACTGACCAGTACAAGGAGTACTTCCACAAACCCGATGCTGTTGCACAGGGAGGGATCACGGCCAGTATGGCTGGTGGCTCGCTACTTGGGTCGCTCTTCTCAGCTTGGACGAGTGATCGATATGGTCGTCGTGACTCGCTGTTCATCGCCTGCATATTTTGGTTGACTGGTTCGACTTTGATGTGCGCGGTGCAGAATGTTCCTATGCTTATTGTGTCTCGGATTATCAACGGGTTCAGTGTTGGAATGCTCACGTCGCAAGGGTAAGCTCATGAACTAGTCTTGACATTGCCAATTCCACTAACAGGATCTCATAGTCCCATTTTGATTGCTGAGATCAGTCTTCCTCACCAGCGTGGCAGGCTTCTCTCTCTACAACAGTGGATGATTACATGGGGTGTATGATCCATTCACATCCTTCAATTGTGCCTGGCTGACATTACTTCAGATTCTAATCATGTACTTCATCTCCTTCGGAACATCCTACATAAGCAACAACGCAGTGTTCCGCATCCCCTGGGGTATTCAAATGATCCCAGCGATTATTCTCATGTCATGTCTCCCAATGATGCCTCGTTCACCACGCTGGCTTGCTACACAAGATCGATGGGAAGAGGCAGTAGCTGTACTCGCAAGATTACATGCCAAGGGAGATACTCTTGACCCCGTTGTTCTAGCTCAGACTACTGAAATTCGTGAGAAAATTGAGTAAGGCCAAATCCTTTTGTGCCTCCGCCAAATACTAATCCATAACAAGACTCGAACGCCAATACCAAAGTTCAGGCTGGATGGAGCTATTCAAACCTCGAAACATTATCCGCGTACACTGCGGTATCTTTACACACATTTGGTCCCAATTGAGCGGAACAAATGCCATGATGTACTACATTGTCTACATCTTCCAGGTGAGATTGATCCTCTATAGCATCCAAGGTTTCCCTAGTGTAGCTCCGAGATTGACAAATTCACAGATGGCCGGCCTTGAAGGCAACAATACCCTGTTATCGGCATCAATTCAATACATCATCAACGTTGTGATGACACTCCCAGCACTAATCTTCATCGACCGCCTCCCCCGCCGTCGTCTCTTCATCGGCGGTGCTTTTATCATGGCAGTTCTGCAGTTTACTCAAGCAGGTCTTATGGCTTCGTATGGATACCATGTTCCAGAAGGACTCAAAGGATCCCCTACAGTCACTTGGAGAGTTTCCAATGGCAAAGCATCTAAGGCAATTATCGCCTGTTCATACTTGTTCATTGCTACCTTTGCGCCCACTTGGGGGTAAGGATCCCGTCTTCAAGAATATTAAGAAGCCAACAACTAACCGTATTTCTTTTGCAGTCCCTTAGGATGGCATGTTCCATTTCTTGAACGAGTCTTCCATCAAAGCTAACTATCCTTCTTCGCAGGGCATACCCACCAGAAATTATCCCTCTCTATATCCGCAGTAAATCAGTATCCCTAGCAACATTCTTCAACTGGGCCTGTAATTTCGCTTTAACCTTCTTCACACCACCAGGGTTCAAAAATATTCAGTGGAAGGTAAGTTTTATCTCCATAGAACATGCAAAGCGTAACTTATCACTGACTTGGCTTCAGATCTACTGCGTGTTCGGAACGTTCTGCCTTGTTGCCGCTATCCACGTCTTCCTTCTCTTTCCCGAGACATGTGGAAAGTCTCTAGAAGAGATTGATGAGGTGTTTAATAACCAAAGTATCTGGGCATTTAAAACGGGGTCTGAGCCGAGCCGCTTCGCAGCTGATGTTGAGCAGGCTAAGGAGGACCTGAGTGCTGGGAAAGTGAATACGGCTTATTTCGAGGCCAAGGCATAGCTAATGATTATATGGAATTATCTACCTAATATTATTTATAAACATGATCTTTTCTCATACAACAGGGGTCACAAATGTGTCTCCAATCCCACCCCTAAAGTACTGGACAGTCCCTATAAGAAAGCCTCGAAGCAAGTTTACATTTCCAAGCATTGTTTCGACCTACGTTTGGCATCTCTAATTCACCTCTTTTTTGCCCATTTTCCAGTGCATCGAGTTGTAGTTATTACAAAATAGTAGGTACATGATATACATTACAGTATATAACGGTGGGGGCGTGTAAGGACCTACGACCTGTGAGTGTACGTACAGTCCAGGGATAAGCTTGGATACTGTCTCGACGGCCGAGAGCGTTGTCCCCAACACCATATTTAGATCTACAATGGTATAGTCCGATACCTCGCGAGATACATTTATCACGAAAACAACCCACAGGATTGCGAAACACACCCTAGTGGATCAGCCATACAGTTGCTATGCGACATCCAAGCGACATCCGTAACAATTTACCCATCGTGCTACAAGCAACAAAGCCGACTTCCGACAAGGCAAGCCAGACTGAATAAGAAATATCTAGCAGATCCCAGCTAAAGGCATAAATTACCTACTGCGAAGAACCCCAAGAACAAAAACAAAGCCCATTCCTAATCCAACTAAAATGACCAAACGCAACATCCTCCTCATGATAGCCGACGACCTAGGCAAACAACTAGGCTGCTACGGCAACAACAAAATCCAAACCCCAAACCTAGACCGACTAGCCTCAGAAGGAACGAAATTCACCCAAGCCTTCACCTCAACAGCCTCCTGCAGCGCCAGCCGCTCAGTAATCTACACAGGCCTACACACACACCAGAACGGCCAGTATGGACTACACAATGGACGACACCATTTCACAACCTTCGACCACGTCGAAACAGCCCCAGCCCTATTCTCAGAACAGGGCTATGCAACAGGTCTAATTGGCAAAGTGCATGTTGGTCCTTCGGGCGTTTATCCATGGGATATGCGCGCTGAGAGTGGTAGTCGTGACGTGGCACTTGTTGCAGACCAGGCTTCTGCATTTTTCAAGAAAAGTGCGAATGATGGCCAGCCATTCTTTTTGACGATTGGGTTTATTGATCCGCATCGCGATTTGACGAGGTCTGGGTTTGGGAACCAGGAGGTTTACGATCCGCGTGTTAAGAGGGTTGAGTATAGACCTGAGGATGTGGAGATCCCATCTTTTGTGAATGATTTGCCTGGGGTAAGGTATGAGTTTGCAGAATACTATCAGTCTATTTCAAGACTGGACCAGGGTGTTGGGATGGTGCTGGATGGATTGAAGAATTCTGGGTTGGCGGATGATACACTCGTTCTCTTTATGAGTGATAATGGCCCGCCATTCATCAATTCCAAGACGACTCTTTATGACGCTGGTGTGAGTTTGCCGTTGATCATGAAATGTCCCGGTTCATCTGTTGGCACTGTCAACCCGAATATGGTCTCCTACGTCGATATCCTTCCCACACTCCTCGACTGGGCAGAACATCCCAATCCATCCCACCCAGCCCGAACAGGCCGTTCAATTCTGCCAGTTCTGGACGAAACATCCGGACTCGAAAACTGGAGCCAGATCTTCGGCTCACACACATTCCATGAAGTAACAAACTACTGGCCAACTCGCATGATGCGAAACAGACGGTATAAATACCACCGCAACATCGCCTGGCGCCTGGATTTCCCCTTTGCAGCTGATATCTACGGCTCGTTGACATGGGAGGAGATCCGGAATGCAGAGAACAGCCCGAAGATGATCGGGTCGAGGCGGCTGAAAGATTACTTCTTCCGGCCTGCGGAGGAACTTTATGATATCCAGGCTGACCCCGATGAGGTGCGGAACCTGGCTGGTGAGGCTGAGTATCAGTCTGTCCTAGAGGAGATGAGGGCTACCGTTGAGAAGTGGCAACGGAGGACGGAGGATGCTTGGTTATACCGGGATGGGGTTTCTTTGCTTTTTGTTAGACATCATCTTGGTGGTGGGCTTGATGTGCCTGATCGGTGGGATTTTGATGTTGAGAGGCCTGAGAGTAAGGGGGTTACTTCTTTTGCTAGAGATTTGCCCTGGGGAGCGAATGTTGAGATGTGATTTCCTTATGCGCACTTGAAGGATTTTGGTTGGTGGGTGTATTAGTTCTGGGGTTGAACGAAACTTGCTTGCAGAATGTATTACATGTTATTCCACGCCTTAAAAGTATCGCCATGGCATATGTAACATGCACAAATGTGGCCAGTTGCAGGGACCAAGTCAGACATGCAGACCGCTACAGAGGCAATTGGATAAGTAGAGGATGATTCGATTCTAACCCTCGCGGGCGATTGTTATAGTACACTTATAACGATACCTTTCACAACATCAAGGTCCGATGCAAGTTGAATAGACAAGATTGTATGCATAAATGGAAATTCAGGATATGGGCAGATGAAGCCGAGAGTAAATTAACAAGAGCCGAAACCACCGCAATGACAAGAATAGGTATAAAGAAAAGGTGATAGAAGCAGACATAGCTCGTTCAACAAATCGTGCAAGAAGGCACCAACTTCGGTTCTTCATGAAAAGCCAGCCCGAAAAGAGTATCATAATGTCATCTACCGACGCCGACTGATGCATCCCATCTCCCACAGTCTTCACACTTCGCCCCAGGTGCCGAGACCGGCTCCGACACCAATAGCACTATTGCTTTCACTTCCGCCAATATCCCAGTAATTCCGGCTGGAACCAGTCATGGTCCGCCGACTTGAGATGGCGGAGAGTTTAGCACTTTGGCTGGCGCAGCTAGAGCCGGGGCGACGGAGATGAGGACGCAAGAGGGGTGAAGAGACACCAGTGGGACCCGATACGCCAGAGTACTGTGATGCGCGGCGGGTCTGGGTTTGAGAGCGAATGTGGGCACGCGCAACCAGTGGGTGGTGTTGTCGAATGATGGCTGCTCGACGGGATGCATCTTGGGGTCTGCGAGCTGGGGAAGGGGGTTGAGCTTCATTGGGCATGTAGCCACGACGGCTAAAGCGGTTGCGTAAGTAGCGGAATACCATCATTACGTCGAGTCCGCGTTCCCAGTACTCCTGTTCGTCTTGGGCTCGTGCTGCGTCGGACGTTGAATGGGATCCCATTGGGTCGTCGTCTTCAATACCCCATTGCGCTTCGTGTTCGCGATTGGGATCGCGGAGCGTGGGCATGAAATGAGGTGAAGGCATGGAATCACCAGTAGTCTCGCCAGCACTTTGTGCAGTTGACTCGAACGGCTTCTGAGATACATGGCTCTCTGCTAGACGATTGATGGACATACCCGCGTATTCAGCGGATATATCTTTCGTCATCTGATAATATGTAGTAAATGCACCTGGGTGTTCACAAAGTTGATGTACAAGAACACCGAGCTCATGGGCAATCCTCTGGAGCACGTTGGTCTGCCACATCGGTGCATCGCCATGCTCTGGCTCCGGTTCGCAGGCTAGCACAGTCTCCATATCAAGTGGCTCTTCCTGACCGTGAGGTTGCGCGTCCAGCGGCAACGACTCACCGAAGATCACAGACAGCAAGGAGTCATCGATTCCGATCAGGTCTCTGATTACCTTACGAGTGATACGGCGCCAGAAAGACTCCTCGTCTTCGGAGACCGCTTCCGGTAGAGATAATTCCCTCGATATGGATGATTCATCGAGAACACTCGCTTGCGGCGTATGATCAACGGACCGCTGAACACTCGATCGGCCGACACGACTGTTCCGTCGCTGACGGGTCTCCCGTTCGATCTCCTGGAGCAGGGCTCTGCTCTGATCCATGCGCCATTGTTCGATTCTCTGCCATCTTTCACGCTCAATATTCGCCTCGCCCTCTTCGACGGTATCCAAATGTCTCTGTACACTCGAGTAACGACGGTGTTGAAGGTGGGCATACGACTGTCGCTGCGGGTTGTACTGTTCATGCTGCCAGAGCTGATCTTGCACCACCTGACTCGAGGCCTGGAAACTACCTAACCCGTCATGGGCTGGAAGCATCGCCGGTGGCCCTTGTTCCATCCTTGTGGGGGAAGCTGGTGCAAAGGTAGGAGCTCGGAAGGCATGCAGTCCGTCGTCGAGGCTGTCTAGTTCGGTGCCCTCTTCGTCTAGTTGGCCGTCGAGGGCGTCATCATCGTCGACACCGTTTGCTGAAGGTGTTGCGGCAAAGGAACCAAAATCACTTAATCTGGATGGGCCCGCAGTGCGGGTGCGATCGGTCGAGGTCGTGTGCGTGCGTGCGGTTGGGGAGAACAGCACCCATTGTGTGGTATCGTCATCGCGTTGGTCTGGGGAGGTTGGGGGGATATCAAGCACAGGAGGAGGTTGGGGGGAAGAATATGAGGTCCTACGTCGGGGGACGTGTGTTGGGACCTGGAAAGCCATAGTGTGATAAGCGTATACGGTGGATCCTCTCCGCAGAGATCACCGTCGGCCTAAAAGGATATCAAGGCCTTTGAATAGAGAATATTCAGGTAAATAAGATCATAAGTAAACAGGAGAAACAGGCGAGACAGGGAAAGGGGAAACAAAGGACCAAGGATCAAGGGCTGAGTGATGATGTGTAGATAACTGATAAGGCGATGATCGCCCGATGATGCAAGCGGTGTCGGATGAGGCCACTCGGAGGTGAATGTCCGATTATTCTATTGTTTCTTATATTTTATTACCCGGTTCTTGCTATATTATTTCTTTATTTTTTGTCAAAGTCGAATAATATCGGATGAGGCACTTATCAGCTGACTAGGGTCACCGGGATTGACGATGTGACGTGTAGAGTTAGCGCTTGTCACGTTTACTTGTTTATGGGCAGTCTGGTAAACATCCACCGTCTCTAATGTAGTGAACTGCCTATATTGTCAACTTGTTCTATATTGCGTCCCTATCACCCCATCGCCTGGATATGTCGCATGTTGACTGTCTGACGCCAAGACCAACTATGACCACGTCGCTTAGGCTAACGAAAAAGCACGCAAACCCCCTCTTGATACGCCCAGTGTAGAGATAGTATCGTGGTGTTCCTTTAGTGGGCCTAACTCGCCGGCTTAATCCGTCGGATTAGCGCCGCTGTCGAGAAATCCACCTGGATATGTCGGTGTCCCTAGACTACTGCAGTAACATTCACATACCCTCTTTCACTAGGCATGTCTGCACATATGTCCAACGTGCTAGACCAGTCAGTAATAGTGCAGGGACAATAGAAGCGGCACCTTATTTGGGTTCAAGTGCGTCCCTCGCATCTTCGTTGAGGTGGACGTCGTCGGTGTTTGATATCACGTAGTGATCAGCTGACTTCACCTTCTAGGCGAGATCAAATAACCACAAACTTGCAATATGTCTAGTAAAGCTACGTAAACGAACCCAGGATAGAGATAATATCATCGCATTGGGGTATATATGAATCTAAGATATATCCAACATCTCTATCAAACAATAAATCATTCCTTTCCAGCCAAAGCCTCGCCAATCCAATCCATCTGAACAGCACTGACACCACGAGCATAACTGCGGTTGGTGAACACGAACTCATTGTACATGATGGCCTCGACCTTCTTGCCGAAAAGCACGCTCGATGGGTGAATAGCAACAGTCTGGTTTCCGACGATAGTGCGGTAGCTACCGTCGGGAACGAGGCGGGCGGTATTGGTTGCAAAGCCTGCGAGGAAACTTTGGAGGATGCGAATTGGGGAGGGGTCGTGTGAAGAAACGGAGTTTGAGAGTTCGCTGGTGAGGAGCTTTGCCTGGCGACATTGCATTCGGAGTTGTTTGCGGACGTCCTTGTTTTCTTGTTAGCTTGGGTATCGGGGCTGTGGTGAATGTCTCTTACCATAACGGATTGCATGGCTCGGTGCGAAACTAGGTGTCGCTCTGCCCAGGCCTTGCGGTCAGAGTGCTCGGCGGCATAGACACGCACAGTCGCCAGCATTGTTAGGTGGTCACCCTCGCGGCGGTATAGATCGCGGCGTGCTGCTTCTGCGGCCTCCTTTTTCTCCTCGGAGGTTGTGTTGAGGAAGATGTTCTCCACACTAAGACAGGAGATAATATCAATGACATCGATCAAACATTCTGGTCCGTTCTCGGCAGCTGCTAATAGGACACGTCCCAGTGTTGGTGTCAAGGGCAACTTAGCAATGTGTTGACCGACATCACTGATCTTTCCTGTCTCCTCCAGGGCGTCGATGCTGAGTAGCTGAAGAAGGGCCTTCTCGAGGGCTTCACGAGGTGGCCGGGTGAGGAATGGGAATCCAACAATGTCATCAACACCACGCGCCTTCATGTTCAGCAGCGCTTGGCTCAGATCACATCGTAGGATCTCGGGAGTGTTCGTCTCGTCCAAAGCGAGATAGTCTTTCTCAGTGTACAGCCGGAAGCATTGTCCAGGAGCTTCACGACCGGCACGACCCTTTCGCTGGATGGCGGCTGACTTGGAGATGGGCTTCACAAGAAGGGAGTCAAGGCCAAGTCGGGTGCGGAACTGTTTGACCTTGGCCTTGCCGCAGTCAACCACATACCGCACACCAGAGACAGTGACTGAAGTCTCAGCAATGTTGGTGGACAACACCACCTTCCGTGTTCGTGGTGGAGCTGGCATAAACACTCGCTGCTGAGCGGCCTGTGGCAACGCGGCGAACAGAGGTAAAACTTGAATCTTGGGAAGCGTCGGGTCCATACCCATGGCATACTCGTTCACCAAATGCTCCAAGGCCTCCACGGTCTCCTGACCAGTCAGGAAAACCAGGATATCACCAGGCATCGGCTCCTTGCAATGGATCTGGAAAATGACCTTGAGAGCCGCATCCACGAAATCATGCACTGGCTGGGGAGAGTAGATTGTCTTGACGGGGAATTGCCGACCCTTGATATGGCAGGCGGCAATCTCCTTTGAATCAGAAGTATCCATTTTATCGGCATCCACTCCGTTCTCGATGGACTTTGGTGCTGGCCCTGGGAGTTTATACCCTTCCTGGAAGAAGCCAGTCAGACTCTCCATATCTGCCGTGGCACTCATAACTACCACCTTGAGCGGAACACCACCACGGCCCTCAAATTTGCTAGCGACAAGATTGCGCAAGAATCCAAGCACCAAATCTACGTTGATACCCCGTTCGTGGACCTCATCAACAACGATAGCACTGTACCGCGTCAAAAACGGATCATGAAGCATCTCCTGGAGCAACATTCCCTCCGTCAGGAACTTCACCCGAGTACTAGGCGATGTCGATGTATCGAATCGCACGGAGTAGCCGACCTTACTAGCAGGGGAGTGATTTCCAAGTGGTGTGCCCATTTCCTCAGCTACACGACGGGCCAGCGAGATTGCAGCGACTCGACGCGGCTGTGTGATAGCAATACACCCTCCAATGTGCTTCTTCCCTGTCTTTCCGTTGTGTGTGATTTGCGTTGGCACAGGCCGGCACCAGAATTCGTCCACCAGGAACTGCGGGATCTGGGTACTCTTTCCGCTACCCGTTTCACCAATCAGCAGCATCACATCTTGTTCGCGTAGGTATTTGCGGATCTCATCTGCATTTGCAAAGATAGGTAGCTTGCGCCGGGTCTCGAGGAGGGCCTTGGCCTTCTCTCGTAGAGAGGTGAAGTTGGTTTTTGTGTCGGTGAGGGATTTGGACTTGTGTTTCGGCTTTGGTTTCGATGGTGCACCATTTGTTCGGGGTGCCTCTTCTAGTTTTTCCGGTGTAGGATCGGCCTTTTCTACCTGCACGGGCACAGGGGGTTCACTTGGTTTCTCTTGACCAGCGCCGTTCGCTTCGCACTCGTCGCGCTTCCGCTTCTTGTTCCCCTTTTTCTTTCGCGCCGGTTCTTCGGTGGGCGGGTGAGTGGTCTTTTTGGGCACGACCTTTTCGTCATCGGAGTCAGCGAAGACGGTACGGACCTTCTCGGGCATTTTGAGGTGTGGCGCGAAAGAATGTCAAGGGCGAAGCTCATCACCTCCGAAAATTTTGCCTTATCGATAAGCCGATAAGCGCTTATCAGTGTCAACACAAGACAAGAGGACTTGATGTCAGTTACTCTCTTTTCTAGTTCTTTTTATCACTCTTCTTTAACTAGTTTGGTCTCTTGTGATCTTTTATATAATATTTTGATCTTTGCTTTTGTGGTTTTCAGAAACAATATATCTGAAAAAGCCTATTTGAGATACTTAACACATGCTTGGTCTTATTGAACATGTACCCAACTAACCGCCGGCTCGCGGAGTGTATGTGGGATGTGTTAAAGCCCGGTGGCAGGATGTATCTTGATGGCTCGGCTGCTGCGGGGAAGTTTGTTATGAGTATATCTGGCATGCAACACATCTTTTATGACGGTTCATGGCGTTCTGGCTGAGATTTTGTATCATTGGTTTGAGATTTTGGAGGTTGTTGGGGAGACGAGGGATTATGGGCTTACTATGTTGAAGTGGGCGTAAAATTGGATGAAGCTAGAGATTTTGTTGTTGCTGGTTGGGGGAAGGTGTATCAGGGGGAAGGTGTATCGGATTCATCGATTGTATCTTTGAGATGGGATGCATACATTTTAGACAGGTTCTCCGCAGGTTTATCATTTTTTTGCGAGGAAGATTGAGTCTCCTGGGTCAAGCCTTCCGTTCCCAGGAGGACTCGGCAGTTCTTGGGGGATTTTCGTCGATTTGGCTGGCTGGTCGATGTCTGGATATAGACCAAGAAAGATATTGACTGAGAAGGACATAAATTGAGGAAAGGAGAGCACGGTGTATTCTATGGCCCCAGAGATGATGTGGTAAATGTTCTAGTAGATGCAATATCAAACTCATGTTTGGAAGGTAGTACGAACTGATGATGTCCTATGTAAACTTCTCCGATGTATGCAAATCATTCATGTAAAGTCATCAATCATATATTTTCAGTCTAAACCCCACCCACGAACCCGACGGAAGACATAAGCGCGGTCATTGCGAAGAGTAAACTCGCCCCAATCATCCGTTAATCTATTGTAGCTCCAGAATCCCTTCCATGCTAGTTTAGTATTCTTGGATGGATTGGGTGGAGCAGGCCCAGCCAGGGCAGCCTTAGAAACTGTGGGTGAACGGAGAGATAGATGCATCGTGTACATGTACTTAGACTCAACACCTTCAGTTTCCACAATAAGATCGCGCTCGTCGCTGAGAAGGGGCTTTTGGTCCGATGATGTATGTGGTTTCCAGGCTTCTGCGGGGGTTTCGGATTCAGGGATGGGGGAGGCCAGATGCCAACGTCCTGGAAGAGCATGCTTTAATATGTTCATTGCAGCCGGCGGCACTGAATCGACTGCTCCTGATAGCGATTGGCCATGGTCTGATAGGCGACGTTGATGCTTTTTCTGTGCAGGGTTGCGGGCTGCCACCAGATTCTCCTTGGTGAAGTAAGGGACTACGTCAACGGGCTCCGCTGAAGAGAGCAGGGACACCACTGAGCCGTCGGGATAGAACCGCAGGTAGCGATAGTAGGTGACAATGTGAATGGGGCTGTTCCACGAGGTGTTTTGGTAGGCATCGGCAGCACCGGGCCGAGTGTAGTTGACTGTGCTGATGTAAACGCCAGTATACCGAATCCGAGGAAGTGTCTGGAAAACTTGACTCCATGAGGATAACGGCTTAGGAATCTCCATCGGCTCATCCTTGGGGAAAGGAGTGTATCGTTCACCGAGGGTGTAGATGGGACGCCCTTGTAGATCGCATGCAAAGTCGTAATGCATTCCCTGGAATCCGAACTTTTTCCCTTGACAGATCCGTTTCCAGATATGCTGCTCACGTACGAAATGATAGGCCAATCGCTTGCAGACCAGTGCCATGCGTCCAAAGACTGACGGGTCGTCCAAAGCCACATGCCGAAGAATCTCTACTATCACCTCAGATGGGACGGTAGAGATTGGACAGGGAGGAGGTGGTGTGCCTTCAATAAGAGGTTCCCTCTGCGGAATTGGCAGATTTGCAAAGGATGCAATCAGCTGAGAGGTCGGCAGGGTCTCTGCCTCCGTGGGTTGATGAATTGCCGCAGGGGTCGTAGTGGACGCCGGTTGATTCGTCTTCTTCCAGACATGTGCATAGTGTTTATTCCGGTAAGTTTTATCGACAGTAGAATCCAACTATACACAGTGAGCTTTCGAAGATCATGTACCGCCGCCATATCCGGAACTCACTCTGTATGCCTTGCGGTAGTGCGACAGACTGTCTCCCAAGTTGCCCTCGGCCTCCTTCTCGACCGCTCGCTCGAAATGCTCCAACGCAGACGTCGGCTCCGTCACCCGACGGCGAGAGAAATCATCATCTTCTGGCGATTCCACGCTCAGCTCCCCAATCTGCTGGGCCAGCTCCTCTGGATCGAATGAAGCCAGCGGGGGACCCTCCTCCTCGACCTCATTGCGGCGAGAGGCCTCATGGCGTGTTGGCGGAAGACGAGTTGGAGGCGGGACAGTTGGGGCCGGAGTCGCAGCAGGAGGGGCCTTGGACTTAGATCGACGCGAGACCTCCTCGCGCCACTGTCGGCGGAACGACTCGAGCTCGGCGTTGTCTTCCATGGCGGGGAGGTGGTCCGACCTCAAATATCAGATTGATAAGCCCACTTAGGCCACTTTAGAAAGAGGAGCAAAGAGCAAAGAGCAGAGCAAAGAGAAGAGCAAACATCTATCCCATCGAGAGCGCCATTGAAGTCTTCTTCGTTCTTTGTCGAAAGTTGCAGAAAGGAAGTTGTCACAGCTTATCTCCGACCGCCGCCACCCGTCAAACCCCGAAAAACTTCCCTTTCCCGGTGACGCATCGTCTATTCTTGTTTCTTGCTCCTGTTTCCAATTTTCCCTGTCTTTCTTTCTTTCTTTCTTTCACAGGTCGATGCCGATCGGATTGGATTACGTTCCAAGCCAAGGTTCTCTTACCGAGTTTGAGACCGAGATCAACGCTTCTCTAGGGGCGTCATGGACCTCTCGGTTTGACGAATCTACGACAATGGCCGCTACATCTGGGACGGGATCACCCCTGGCCCCAGAGACGCCCTCCGCTAATGACGATATCACGGTGGGCCAGCGGATGATCTCTGCGACGGCGGGTAACATTTTGACCGGGTTACTAGGTAGGAGAGCTTCAAATCCGTGACTATTCAAGGCTAACAGCTTCAGTAACACCTCTCGATGTCGTCCGAGTCCGTCTACAATCACAATCCCAAATTCACAACACTTCTCCATACACTTCCCACACCACGCAAACCTTGAAAAACCTTCCCCCAAACCTCGGCATTACCTCTTGCTGCCGCGAAGTATTCTGGATTGGAAACGATGCCCAGATGTGCATGCTCGGACCCCATGCGACTGCAGTAGGCAGTACACCGCACCCAGCGATCGATTGTGCGATCGAGGAAACGCAGCGACGAACATTCACCTCGACTCTGGACGGACTACGGAAGATCGCACGCAACGAAGGCACATTAACACTATGGCGCGGACTCAGCCCAACTTTGATGATGGGAATTCCAGCCAATGTCATCTATTTTGCTGGATACGACTGGCTGCGCACGGATGATCGCAGTCCCATCAAGCAGCGACTCGGGGAAAGCGGCGCGCCATTAGTGGCAGGCTCTATCGCTCGAGTCGCGGCAGCGGCAGCAACCAGCCCATTGGAAATGTTCCGCACGAGACTGCAAGCGACCCCGGGGACGGGTGCGAACCACTTCAAGACCACCATTCAGGATCTGTACCACATGACGCAAGCCAAGGGATACAGCTCCCTCTGGCGCGGATTCACGCTTACAATGTGGCGCGACGTACCCTTCTCGGGCTTGTATTGGTGGGGATACGAGGAGGTGAAAAAGACTCTGATCACGGCACGCTACCCACACCTCGCGGAGTCCGATGACAGACCACAGGAGCCCACAACCCAAGCCTTCCTCGATAGCTTCATCTCTGGAGCTGTTTCAGGTTCGGTGGCAGCATTTGTTACCACACCCTTTGATGTCGGAAAGACGCGACAGCAAGTATTTCGACACTTGGATGATGGGGCTCTCACTGGCCCCCCGCGACCGGCGCTATCCCCGGGCAAACTAGCGCCCGAGCAGCTCTCCCTTCCCAATTTCCTCATGCACATTTTCCGTGAAGAAGGTACCGCCGGTCTGTTCCGTGGCTGGACGGCGCGATGCCTGAAAGTTGCCCCAGCCTGCGCCATTATGATCTCGACCTATGAGCTTGGAAAGCGCATGGCTCGGGAGGTCAACGAACGTCGACTCTCTGACGCATGAAATATGCGCGTATGCACCCTGTAAAATACTGCATGTGATCTTACGGTCGCTTTGGCGTTTTTCGACATAGCTCATAGAGTAGCACTTGAGCTTTTGGTTTTACTGGAAATTTTGACGCATTTCTGTACATATACTTAATGGACATCTCTATCTCTATTGACTCGTTTCCTCCCCCTGCACAGCACAGCCAACCGGGTGAGGGTGATCGGGGCGCAGATGATCATCCGCCATGGCCCCATGAGGCTGAGAGTCCCCTGGCTTCCTTTTATTCCCCGCAGTTCTCATGAATATGTCCTCAAACAACATTATGACTTCGAGACCCCCAACAGAGAACAGGCACTCGTGGTTCGAGCATATTGCGGTGGCGGGAGAAACCAACGTAGAGTAAGTATACGGATTGGTCGGAGGATATCAAACTAACTGTTTATAGCATCGTCGCTGTTCCACCCATCGGCGCATATCATAGAAAGACATGGACAGTCCATGGTGCCAAATCATCCTGGTTAGACACAGAATTGCTTCAACATCTTCCTCGCGCTCGAGTCCTTCTATACAACTATGGCGGACTCAATGAACACGATAAAATCGACTCTCTAGGTCAACAGCTGCTGAACCAACTCCTAAATGAGCGAAAACATGATGTATGCCCCCTTTGACCATATTTGATCTTTATCCTCATACCGAAATAGAGCCCCCGACGGCCCATATTTCTCATCTGCCACAGCACCGGCGGCCTCGTTGTGAAAGCCGCCTTGGCCCTGGCATCACGGGCCGAGCCGAGTTCCCTCCTCACGAGCTGCTACGGCATCGCATTCTTTGCAACACCGCATCAGGGGTCGACCTATCTCTCCGCTGAGGAGTATGCAGCCAGTATCCGCCATGTGTTGCATCTGGAACACGAGAGTCCCCACGCTCTCAGAGAACAGTTCCGTCCCCGCCAGGAACGACTATGGCATCTGTCTAACCAGTTCAAGACCCTTTCCGCTGATATGAAGGTCTGGTCTTTTCTCGAGACTATTGACTCGACCATGCATGTTATTGACGCAGAGACCAATAATGTACTGGAATTTCATGTTCCCATTACCTCTATTAGGTCTGGATTACTGGATATCGAGCATGAGAAAGAAGTGCCCATGGCAACAGACCATGCAGGGACGGCGACATTCCACGGACAAGATTCAACTCGGGAGACATTCCTGAATGAGCTCAAGGGAGCTGTAACCATTGCAGTGGAGATATCAAGACACGAAGATACGCCGCTGGGCGTAGAAAAGAAAGTAATGGTCCAAATCAACGGTTTCTTCGAAGATACCGCGCTGGGCGTCAGTGACGAAAGTCCATTAAAACTATGGTCAACCAAAGTTTCTTTGGAAGACTATCTCTCACGAGGACCATCAGCATGTCTCCGAGAAAGACTAGGTCGAGTCCAGCCCAGCGGCTTAGATGATTCATCCATCAGCAGCTTCGACAGTCCGCGCTCCTCATATATCGCCCCAGCACCAGACCCAGCTGAGCATCATGATCACCATGAGGAAATACGCACGTTGCGTCCACCCCTGCCGTACAGTCAAAGCTTTGAAGATGTAGCTCATCCATCGCCCAGAATTCATATTACTGAAGCGGCTATGGATGGTTATTTTGAGAGTCCGCCAGCTGAAAGTCCACCGCCAGGTCGCAAACAAAAAAATTCAATCACGAAGGCTTTAGGACTTATTCCGCTGCGGTCGCGTTCGCATTCGCATCGGCGGAGTGCTTCGGATAGTAGTTCTCAAGGGAGTAGTTCACGGCCTGCCTCGTAAGTATAGTCTCTGCGGCCTTCCATCCTTCGGAGACATTAAGCTCTCGCTTGTATAAATAACCCTCAGCTCACGATCATTAGAAGCTCCACATCACCGCCAAGGCAGTCCGCATTCCTGACGATTCCAATGTCCACTCGAGACCGAATTAATCAAAACGCAGAAGCACCGGATATTCCTCGATCGGTGCCACGCTTTGATAGACCTGAACCTGACACCGAGAAACTTGTCTGGATTCATGTTCCTTATACCCATACCGGTTGGGTGTCACAGGTTATCCGACGAGCGTGCCAGGATAGCCAAGATCCCAACTTGTAAGACCTGCGGTTTTATTGACAAGATCCCATGACGCTAACCATCCTTTGCAGTCTCCGAAAATTCATCAATGACAAAAATTGGTATTTTCGGCTCAACAGAGCCCGCCATCTTGAGCCTCATGCCCGTTTTGTCCGGCCGGCGTGCATTCATTCGAGACAAATGGATATTTTACAGGGGACCCCAGGCGCCGCAGATGATCCCCAACTCGCTCTATATGTATGTTGACGAATCACTATCCGCATACGAAAACGATGCTAACAAATACCTCACAGGTTCCATATGTGAGTATCACTCCACCACTCACCTCACTCGATACTGACCTGCCAGCTCCACTGGGACACATATCGCAACCTAATTCAACGACGGAAAGTAGTAGCAGACCGACTTCAACAAGGCCGATCCCGCCCAGTTCCAGGCCGAATCTCCAAAGCAAGCCTAGAGGCCCAACTAATATGGACGTACCTCGGCTGCGAGCCACCAGTCCACTTCAGACGCACCCTTGACCAATTCGGGTACCCGAACCTCCGCTCAACAATTGCGCGCGATGATGACCAGATGCTATGGAAACGAACGCGCAGGCCAGCACGTATTGACGAGCAACTTAGACAGTATCTACAGTCAACCCAGGATGAAGGCGATGAATCGGAGTATGGGGAGTTTATGGATGGAAATGTGTTGATGGTTGATCAGCTTTGGCTTTGGATTGTTGATTCGAAGACTGTTGTTACTTTCTTTCCGAATCAGGAGGCTACGACTTCTGAAGGGAAGTTGTTTGAGCAGTCTAATTTGCATAGTAGTATTTACAACGAGTTGAACGGGGATTTGGCGAGGAGGTTCGAGACGGCTGGTGATTTGGCAGCGCTTATTATGTTGCATGCTGTTACTGTTCTTTTGGATAAGACTTTGCATCATGATTTGCAGGTTCTGAGGATTTTTGAAGAGTCGATTAGTATTTTGGTGGGTTCTTTTGACTGGTGTTTTCTATGTTGTTGGTATTTGCTAACACGGGCAGACTGAGTCGGTCACGAAATCTTTCAAGCGCTTCCGCAATAGAGGCTTCACTAATCGTCCAGCGGACCATGATCGTACTAAAGATGGCAAGATTATGACAGCTGCTCAGCGAGACTACCGCGAACGCCAGGTTGCGAAACGGAATCGCGAAGATCTATCTGTTTTACTTGAACTACGGGATATCGAGGACGAGCTGTCCACCATACTCAAGCTACTCGATCAACAAGACACTGTTATCAAGAGTATGATCAAGTACTTTGACAGTAGAGGATATGGCAAGGTATTCCTCGACACAGCGCAAGGTCGAATCGACGAATATCGTTCCCAGATTAGCGAGATGAAAGAAAATAGCCATCTAGCTCAGAAAGCAGTGAGTCTAATACCCGCAATCGATTTTCCGATGCTAAGTACTAATCCATCAGGTCGAAACACTCCTCGATCTCAAACAAAAACAGGCAAATGTTGACGAAGCCAAAATGGCACGATGGCAGGCCGAAGTTACGCAGACCCAGTCGCGCGCAGTAATGGTCTTTACAATTTTCTCTGTGGTGTAAGTCCACTATTTCACCTGGAGCACCGCAAGGAATCTAACAAACCAAGATTCCTCCCACTATCGTTCTTCACCTCCCTCTTCGGCATAAACGCCCGAGAATGGAGCGGGGAGGCTACAAACCTGACACTAGGCCAGATGCTCAAGATAGCAGGTATGCATTACTTCAAGCCCAAGTCCATACCTATATTAACATAGATCCACAGCACCATCGTCCTTCGCAATAATATTCCTCTCCCTCCTGCTAGCGTTCAGCGAAACCCTGCGCGAAGCAGTCTCCAAATCCCATAAGATAAGCATAGGCCTGGTCAAAGAATTTATTCTGCACCCCGTCAAAACAGTCCTGCATTGGGAGGCAATCACGCATAGAATGCCTGATATGGTTGTTCCCGAGAACTCGAGTTTGAGGAAGCGGTTTGATGATTATCTGGGGTATGGGCGGAGAAATATGCAGCTTGATGAGGATATTTGGCAGAGATGGCAGGAGGATCGGTTGGGTATTGGGTCTGGGGCGCTTGGGGATGGGCTTTGGAAGGGGAACGGGAAGGGGAATTGGGGAGAAAAGAAGACGGGGAGGCATTCGGAGGGTATTAGGACTGGTAATGGTGAAGTTTAGTTTGAATGCATATTTTTCGTTGTCTTCTTATGTGGGTGTTTTATACCTGTGTATTTTATGTAATGTTTTGATTCTTCGTTTATTAATGGAATAAGTTGGGTACGTGTATCTACCTAGGTAATCATATAGTGGGTGCTGCTGTGAACCCCAAAGTTCTACCCCGTGGCTACCATCGCCTCTCTCTCTCGGACTTTAGGATATCTTTCAGGGAACTGGTCTGGCTGTGTGTGAACTGACGCTCCGATGGCACGATATTGGAAGTACGCCTGCATGGAGTGAGAACAAGTGTAAGTAGGGGGGCGCGCGGTGGAAGGTTTTGAGAGATATTCCGTTTCAATAAATGTAATGCATGCTAGATCAATAGGCGGACCCGGTTCTAAACCCACTAGACGCCATAATTGTTCTACCTATTCACACAATGCCTTGGTATAGATCAATTCACTGCCCGATGACTAAGGGAGAGAGGGTAATACAACGTCGAGTAGCCAATGATATTGATTGGTTATGGTGAGAATGGAGCCTCAGCTCCATTGGGACTAGCCCCCCTGTGTACCACTCAGGGGGTTAGCCCCGGATCCCTCCGGACGGTTGCATGCTTAAATGAACCTTGACACCAGAATTGAAGGTTGTCACCCCAAACTCTCTCGCTTCCTTTGTTAGGTCTCTGTCATTATGGCTGAACATCCTTCATTTACCCTTGCCGCTCTCCGTAAGCCATCCCGGTGCGTGGAATGAGTGCAAGTTACTGATTATACATGACCAAAAAACAGTGCCTGCAGGAGGTGTTTTTGGATACCTGCGGACCCGCTCAGCACCCTCGTTGATCGCAGGTGTTGGCCTCGGACTCTCGTATGCATACTCCGGTAAGTACGAATCAAGCAGTACGCCATTATAGGCAGCAATCGACCACCCAAGCTGACCAAATCGCCAGGTTATTTGATTAAAGAGAACCGTGACTACGGCACCGAGCTTGCCTTGGGAAACAGCGTACTCCTGCTGGGCTCTGCAATCCCTAGGATCATTAAAACGGGTGCTAAGGCCCCTGTGCCTTTGGCACTCGGTGCCACTGGCCTATTGGCATCGTACTACTACCAGAAGAAGGTCAGAGAATTCCGATTTGGGGTCTAGGATTTACGATGTCAACCGAAATTTGGCATTCTGGTCGCGGATGCCTGGACCCTTCAGGTATCCTTTACGGAGGTCGTGCGGCCATAACGGAAGCGGTTTAGTCGATGGTCGAGGGATTCCGAGGAGGCAACCAAGAACGGATTGCCAATCTTGGTGAGTTCAAACCTTCTTTCTTTCTATTGCAGCCCCGAAGGCTTACGCTCTATACCGTTAGGATCACTCCTTCCGTCAAACTAGAGGATCTAGCGTTTTTCTTTGAGATCAACCGATTGGCCGCTTCATGGTCGTTTGAGTATTCTGGTTGTGTGAAACAATTCATGATAACAAGTAATCTCTGCTCTTAATTTTGATACATGCGCGCTGGAATATGGATTGATAGCATTTTATGAATACCATGGAAACCACATGGATAGGGTAAATCCGGAGAGTTAATGTTGAAGTGCCCTTATTCAACCAAAAGCCCTGTACTATCATCGAGTCAGTAATGATTTTGCATCGGGGCTATTGCATTATACTGCCGTCATCTTTGACAAAAAGGGCATTTGATATCAATCACTAGAAATTTTCCTTTTAGACTACAAACCGACAATCAATCCAGAGTTCCGAACAAGCAAAATGAGGAGAATCCCTCACAACAAAAAGATTTAAACTCCTAACCAAACATGTAATTTCAAAGCCTCCACAAACCACACTACTACCACCGCCACACCATATCCCAAACCATTCCTAACTCTCAAACACCCTTCGAAACCCCCTTCTCAAACTCAACAAAACAGAGCCCATCAGGCAACTCCAACTCCGGATACTTCTCCCGAGGAAAAGGCGCCGTCTCGCCCGTCTCCACATACCCGCGTCGAGCATACCAAGCCATAAGCTGCACACGATCCGAAAGCGCATTCAAACTAAGCCTCTCAACGCCCCAAACGCGAATACAGTAATCCTCCCCATAATCCAGGATCTGACGCCCGCTACCACCGCCGGCATGTGCCGGGTTGACAGCGAGCAGGGCGAGGCGGCCTATGTCTCCCGCGCGTTTCGAGACGCTGATTGTTCCGACTAGGTTTTCATGGTTTGTCTCGTTATTGTCGGTTGTGAATGCGAGTAGCATTTCGCTGTCGGGTTTGGTAAGGACTGTTTTTATTTCTTCGGTTGAGATGCTGAATGTTGCTGATAGCCCTAGATTGTCTATCCAGCCTGGGCGGGTGTCTTGGGCGCGGAAGGCGGATTCGATTAGGGTTTGGAGTTGGGGTGCATCTTCTGTTGCTGCCGTGCGGAATTGGAGTTGCATTTTGGTGGATTAGGTGGGTTGGGATGGTTTGGGTGTTTGTTTTTTTTTCTCCCCTCTCTGCTATATAAGGATAAATATGTGCAGGATTTCCTATTTATGTGTAGTTATGTAGGCTTCACGGCGCGATGCAACGGTGTAATCGTAAGGGCGGGATGTCGTGGGAAAGGCGGGTGCGGGATTTTTGTGTAGCTTTAGCGCTTACTTCGAGGGCACTTGATATCAACAACTAGAGGGATTGAGAAAATTGGTTTTTTTGAGAAATAAATCATAGCATTGAACGCAGATGTCTCGTGTACTGCTGGAGATATGTTTTCGGGGTTGGAAGTGCACCACATACGCCAGGCTGTTTATAGTTGCTTCCTGCATCCCAAGCAAACACCAAATCGAAATGATAAAGTAGAGAGAAAAAAAAAAAAAAATTGGAAATACACAAACAGTATTGGTAGCACAAACCTGATAGGCAAATATTTAATGATGGGGGTATTTGAACACAAAAGAGAGAAATGAGAAACGTAGATCCAGGGACCTGAGAGATGAAAGGAATGGGTGTGTCGAAGAGAAGATCAAGAACACAAACAGCAGAACAGACAAATCCTCACCCCTCAATAACGGGCAAAGACGCAAGATTCATCGCAGAGCACTTAAGAATGGTCTGCATCATGCGACTGGCATCCAACGGCTTGGAAAGATAATCATCCATACCGGCCCGGATACACTTATCCCGATCCCCAAGCATAGCATGCGCGGTCAACGCAATAATAGGCGTCCGTGGCAAGGCGTTCACCTTCTCATAGTGTCGGATATTGCCGGTAGCCTCAAACCCGCCCATGACAGGCATCTGGACGTCCATGAGAATAACATCGTAGCGATGTTGCTTGACCTCATTGACAGCCTGCAGACCATTTTCAACGACTGTGACGTTGTGGTTGAATTTTTCCAGGATGCGGACCGCCACCTTCTGGTTCACGTCGTTGTCTTCTGCTAGGAGGATTGCTAGTGAGCGTGTGTATCCTGATGGGGTGCGGGTTGAGCGGTTTCCTAAAGCTGGGAGAATTCCGTTCCAGAGGTCGATTGGTCGGCAGGGGACTGTTATGTAGGAGGCTATGCCTAGCTCGCCGGCTGTACGGAGGGTGAGGGTGACGTTTTGGGCTGTTATGACTAGTGGGATTGGTTGGAAGGTTGAGTGGGCGCGGAGCTTTGCTGCGATTTCGAGGTTTTCGATGAGGATAGCGTCGAAGGAACCGCCCCATTCGCTTTGGAATTGGCCATTTTCTAGCTGCTCTTCCGTGACGATGAGCGGATCCAGGCCGAGTTCCATTAGGAGCTGGGCGATTGGGAAGCTCCGGGCGAGACCGTGGTCGAGGAAGAGAACACGTCGGCCACGATGTGGGAGGAGTTGCTCTGAGAAGCTTGGTGGAGGTGGTGCGACTTTCACTCGACAGGTAAAGGAGAATGTACTGCCTTTGTCTACGGTTGATGTCACCCAGATATCTCCGCCCATAAGGGAGACTAGGCGTTTTGAGATGGCGAGGCCGAGGCCTGTTCCGCCAAACCGCCGAGTCATTGATCCGTCTGCCTGTTGGAACTTATCGAAGATGAGGCCGAGTTTGCTCTCTTCGATGCCGATTCCGGGATCACAGACTGAGAATTGGAATGCTGTCTCATCGGGTTCGCATAGGCTGTCGTCCACTCGCTTGATGGCCACTTTGATATCACCGTTGTCGGTGAATTTGATGGCATTATTGACGAGGTTGAGCATAACCTGACGCAATCGATATGCATCTCCAATGAGGAAATCGGGGACCTCTCCGTCGACTGTGTACACCAGACCCAATGCTTTCTCGTTGGTTTCCACGGTGAGAGCTTTCAATACGCTAAACACAGTGGACCCCAGGCTAAAAGGCATCTTTTCGATCATCATATGATTTGCCTCGATTTTAGAAATGTCGAGAATATCATCAATGATAGTCAACAAGCTGATGGCGAGACCATGGACCATCTTGAGTGTTTCTCTCACAGAGGCTTGGAGTTCGTCGGTGTCCAGTGCCAAGCTTGAGAGTCCGATAATGCCGTTCATTGGAGTCCTGATCTCATGACTATATGGCAGTTAGCATGGGTGAACACATCACAATTCAGCAAAGTCTTGACTTGCCTCATATTTGCCAGGAATTCAGACTTGCTCCGATTCGCCAACTCGGCCGCTTCACGCGCAGCAGTATTGCGCTGAATGCTATCCCGCAAACTCGAAATCATCTTATTGATCTTTTGTTTCAAGTCGTCCATCTCACCTGAAGCCGAGACAGTTATCAATTTGGTAAAATCACCACTCATCGCCGCCTCGGTAATCTCTCCAAAGGCACGAACCTGTGAGGTCAGATTATCAGCCATGGTATTGACGTCTTCACTGATCGACCTCCAGATTCCATGCGACCCAGCAACATTTGCCTGTCCACCGAGTTTTCCACGGACTCCCACGTCCCTCGCGACGCCTTTGAGTTCCTGTGCAAACCCTCCTAAGCCATCCACCATGCTGTTGATTGTTTCTTTCAATGTCAAAATTTCACCCTGGGCGTGGACTTCAATCTTGGTACTCAGGTCGCCACGAGCAATGGCCTGGGTGACATTTGAAATTTGTCGCACCTGGAACGTGAGGTTCTGAGCCATGGTGTTGACATTATCGGTCAAGTCTCGCCAGCGACCTTCAACATTCTCGACCTGCGCCTGGCCACCAAGTGTGCCGTCCGTACCAACTTCGCGTGCAACACGGCTAACCTCAAACGCGAACTGATTCAGCCGGTCGACCATCGCATTGATCGTAAGCTTCAGATCCAAAATCTCGCCCTTAGCATCGGCAGTAACCTTCTTCGTAAGATCACCACGAGCAACAGCGGTAGTCACATCGGCAATCTCACGAACCTGCTGCGTAAGATTCATTGCCATACGATTCACATTGTCGGTGAGGTTTTTCCAAGTCCCCTCGACACCATGCACAACAGCCTGACCACCAAGCACACCATCCGACCCAACCTCTCTCGCAACACGACTAACCTCAAACGCAAACTCCCTTAGCTGATCAACCATTGAATTGATAATATTCTTCAACAACAAGATCTCACCCTTACAATCCGCCTGCACCTTACGCTGCAGATCACCCTTGGCAACCGCCGTCGTGACAGTAGTGATATCCCTCACCTGAGTAGTAAGATTGTTGGCCATGGCATTAACATTGACAGTAAGCTCATGCCAAATGCCCTGAATACCCTCAATCTTCGCCTGACCACCAAGCACACCCTCAGTCCCAACCTCCCTAGCCACCTTCGAAACCTCCTGACTAAACACCTGCAACTGATCCATCATGGTATTAATCGTCTGCTTGAAGGTACCAATGTCAGGCGACATCTCAAGCGGATGCATGCGAGCCCGCTGCGACAAATCACCATGCGCAACCTGCGTGATGATCTCGCCGATCTCCCGCAGTTCCTTCTGGAACGCTTCATTGATGTGGGTGTGTTTGCGGAGTTCGTTGCGGAGGTGTGTACATTCGTGTTCGGTGGCTGCGATGGAGGAATGGGATTCGCGACGGTAGATGAGTTCGTCGACGATTAGGGAGATGAATTCCCGTGGGACGGAGATCTCGGGACTTTGTTGGTGTTGCAGGGCCGCACGGGCTTGCATCAGATCTGCGTCGCTAACCAGTGCCGGCCGCGCCATGTCCACCAGGGTTGCCATCGTGGCGATCGAGGCTGGGTTGGAGGTTTGGTTTTGGTCTGCTGTGTTTTCATGTAATGCGGCTAGTGAGGATTAGCGATGGGACTGGGACTGTTGGACTGGACGGGGATGGCTTGTACGGGATGGTATGGACCACACAGGTAATGTTGCTTGGCCAGCAATGTAGAATCCCAGGCACTTTATGCATTACCAGTTGCAGTTTCAGAGGGAGAGATCGGGAAAGTGAAGGATACGGGAAGAAGGAAGAAGGAAAGGACAAGATTCCAAGATTCCCCCGTACCCACCCGTGTCAGGTAGCTTCACTAGTCTGGTCCTTATTTTCCTGTCGGAAGACATGTTCACATTGTTAACATAGCGCAGTTCCCCCTCATACCGGTGTTTTCGGTCTAGACTCGAATGGGCGCAATGGCTTGCTGCACGGGATCATTTGGTTCAAATAGCCGATTTTATCGGCCAATGGGATGACGCGGCACCAGACTTCGTAGACTTCACGGGCTTCGTAGGCTTCATGGGGAGGAATTTGAATGTTGAACATTTGCGATCTATAACATTTGAGGGTCTTAGAGCCAATCTCGGAACACATGTCGATCCTGCTGATCGAGTCTGAAAGCCAAGACGATTTGCTGCTGCTACGTGGGTGTCAGACGGAAATTACTTCCGGCCAATCGAGACAGGACTTGAGCGCACTGCAAGGGACTCGTAATGGAACTGCATCAGATGGAGTTCATTGATGGTATACATGATATAGTACAGATGTGGAACTCTTTTGTCAGGCTCCAAGAGGGGAGATGAGAGAGGGAGAACAGTCCAAGAGAATACAGGTATAGAAAAAAGGCAAAAAAGAAACAACACCAAGTAGAGACACAAGAAAAGACATTACACAGATTCAAGTAGTATCAGAACAGGCTACGATGCAAAGACGCTCGATGGTAATTCTTCAGGGGAGGATGGGGGAAAGGTCAGGGGCTTTAGAACATGCCGCCGCCCATGCCGCCCATGCCGCCCATACCACCCATGCCACCGCCAGGGGCGGCGGGGCCCTTCTCCTCAGGGGCCTCGACAATGGCGACCTCGGTGGTACCGAGGAGGGAGGCGACACCGCTGGCGTCAACCAGAGCGGTGCGGACGACCTTCAGGGGGTCGACGATACCGGCAGCGATCATGTCAACGTACTCACTCTTGGAGCTGTCGTAGCCGCGGTTGAAGTCCTTGGCGTACTCGTCAGTCAACTTGCCGACAATGACGGAGCCTTCGAGACCAGCGTTCTCAACGATGGTGCGAGCGGGGCGGGTGATGGCGCTCTTGATGATGCTGACACCGAGCTGCTGGTCGAAGTTGGCGGGCTTGACGTTACCGAGACCGTTGGCGGAGGCCTTGAGGAGAGCGGTACCACCACCGGGGAGGATACCCTCCTCAACGGCAGCGCGGGTGGCGTTCAGGGCGTCAACGACACGGTCCTTCTTCTCGCCGACCTCAACCTCCGAGGCACCGCCGACCTTGATGACGGCAACACCGCCGGAGAGCTTAGCGAGACGCTCCTGGAGCTTCTCCTTCTCGTACTCGGAGGTGGTGGGGTCAGCCATGACACCACGGATCTGCTCGCAGCGCTGGGTAATGTTGTCCTTGCTGCCCTCGCCGTTGAGGATGATGGTGTCCTCCTTGGTGATGGTGATAGCTCCAGTGGAGCCGAGCATGTCGGGGGTGAGCTTCTCGAGCTTGATGTCGAGCTCATCGGTGAAGACAGTTCCGTTGGTGAGAACAGCGAGATCACCAAGGATGCTCTTGCGGTTGTCACCGAAGCCGGGGGCCTTGACGGCGGCGACCTGGAGCTGACCACGGAGCTTGTTCAGGATGCAGACAGCGAGAGCCTCACCCTCAATGTCCTCGGCGATGATGACCAGAGGGCGGCGGAGAGTGGTGGAGGCCTCAAGGGCGGGGAGGATGTCCTGGACAGCGGAGATCTTCTTCTCGGAGAGGAGGATCAGGGGCTTCTCGAACTCGACCTTCTGGGACTTGGGATCGGTAATGAAGTAGGGGGAGGTGTAGCCGCGGTCGAAGCGCATACCCTCGGTAACCTCGAGCTCGTCCTCCAGGGTCTTGCCCTCCTTGACGGTGATGACACCCTCCTTGCCCACCTTCTCCATGGCGGTGGAGATGAGCTTACCGACGTGGGTGTCACCGTTGGCAGAGATGGTAGCCACCTGGGCAATCTCCTCACCAGTGGTGATGGGGCGCTTGTTAGCCTGGAGGTAGTCGACAACGGCCTCAACGGCAGCCTGGATACCGCGGCGGAGATCCATAGGGTTGCAGCCGGCGGCGACGTTCTTGACGGTCTCGGAGAAGATGGCACGGGCAAGGACGGTGGCGGTGGTGGTACCGTCACCAGCAAGCTCGTTGGTCTTGGAGGCGACATCCTGGAGGAGGCGGGCACCGAGGTTCTCGAACTTGTCCTGAAGCACGATAGCCTTAGCGACGGTCACACCGTCTGTGGTTTGTTAGTCGTTAGATGTATGATGGTCGGAAACGAAATCCTTACCCTTGGTAATCTTAGGGGATCCGTAGGGGGAGTCAATGAGGACATTGCGACCCTTGGGACCGAGTGTGGAGGTAACAGCCTTAGCAAGAGTGTCGACACCCTTGAGAAGGCTGGCACGAGCCTCAACACCGAACTTGAGCTCCTGGTTGTTGTTAGCAAGGTACGGTAAATGACTCCGGGATTGACGGAAGACAAGCCGACCAACGGAATTGGTGGAACTTCCATCCCAATTGAACGCACCTTGTGAGCAAAACGCTGCTGCTGGAGGTTGAGAGTCGAGCGGGCGAAAGGGGCGCGCTTGGAAGCGGCCGAGAGGACAGAAGTCCGGGCGGAGAGAGCGCGCTGCATGGCTATGGAAACAGATTAAAAGGAACTAAGGGAGAGAGAAATATGAAAACAACCCAGGAGAAGTATGGGGTTGGGAGGAGATGGAAGAAGAGAAGAAAGCTGGGGAGAGATGAAGCCAAAGTCTCGAAAATTTTCCCGGATCCCCAGAGCTTGGCGGAAGAAACAGCTAGAACATCACGTGATGTCCGAGGGTATCTCGGGAGAACGGCAGTAGAAAATTGCAGATGTAGTAGACATAAATATAGTAGATTATATAGGGAGTAGGTGAAGAGACCGGAGGAGATCAGAATGCTCTTCTAATTTTGATTGTATCATATGTATTGCGCTATAATCATCAAACTGCTTATATCCTTCATGTTCGCAAATTATATATCTCGGGAACGTACTCCGGCTTTCGGCCTATACAAACTACTCTGTGCGGCAATATATACTGATGTCCCATTGTCAACTATGTAAATGCCTCCAATGTGTTTTAAGGATATTTCCAATGGACTTTTCATTTATCTTCCTTTGTATGATCTTTCTAATCAAGCCAAAACCGTTTGAATATCCTAGACCGGCACCAAACACTTTCATAGTACATGCATTGAAGCCCAGGGTTATATGTTTGTGGTAAACCATAAATTGAGTCACACAAACAGGTGGCTGTACACCGGTACTTATGCAGATACTGAATGAAAGGTTTGACTGATTGGACCGCAGGATATATGTATATAAGTTGGGAGCTCGCCCGCCAATTTTTCCACAAAGGATCAGGATCAAGCCAACTGGAACATCGAATATTCCCCGCACGTGGATTGCGTCTAGATTTTATGCTTCATATGTACAGCTCTTGGCCTTGAATGCGGCTGAATTTCGGCTCAGCTCGAAATCAGCTCGGAATCACTACCGATCTTAGTTCTAGTATTACAAGGCTAACAATTGCTCGACCACAATGTACCTACTAATCCAATATGTGAGCCGAAAGCCTACCAAAGTCTGGGTATACCAACAACCGCAGAACCGCATGTACTATCTAACGTCGCCAAGCAGGTAAGTCATGCAGATGAAACGGCTACAGTTCTTGGAATTGCGTTACTCCCCGCTTAGTTGCGACCATGCTAATGAGCGGCCACTAGATCAGTTCTACGATACTACGACTTGGGACGGGGAAATCAATTTTTGGAAATACCATTTGGCGCGGGCACGAAGCCCCTATTAGGCGCCGAGCACGAAGCCCTATCTCACGGCCCCCGAAGGGGTCCAATGGTAGATACAGATTTGATGATAGAAAGCCCACCCGATCAGGGTTTGCCACACCCTCACCGGGTGGCAGCTAGACCGGGCGTCAGATAAGAATAACAAAAATAGGACCGCAGTCCTCTGAAAACTGAAATTGGACCGAAGTCCACCACGCCGAGAGTTTGGGCAGAGAAATTACTCCTGGTTCTCCCCCTCGGGCACAAACCACTTGCAGTGGGAGGGCGAGGGTACCGAGTAGTCCTCCTCATCCTCCTGCTTCCAAGTAATCTCCTCCGCGGGGCGCACCACAGGGCGGCGGGGGCCCAAGGTCGAGACCAGCTCATCCTCAGCGCGGAGAGCTAGCTCGTTAGCGGACGGGTACCGATGCGCATCGCGCTGCGCCACGAACGGAAGCCACGCGTCGGGACCAAGGGAGGGGCGTGGGGCGTAGTCCCAAGGCATCCAGGCGTTAGTGGAGTTTGGGTCAGCCCAAGAGCCAGGCGCGGAAGAGGCGGCAGGAGCATAGGGGTGCTCAACTGCGTAGCGGTTCTCAGATGGAGCGGAAGTACCAAGAGAAGGAGACCAGGCGGCGGGATAAAGGCCAAGGTGCACGGCGCCCTGAGAAACAGGCGTAGCCTGCTGGCTCAAGAGGCTGTCGTTGCCCAAGTTGCCGTATCCAGGATAATAACCGCCAATGATAACACGACCAGGAGTAGCAGTAGCGTGAGTGGCAGGAGTAAGGCCGGAAGCCCACTGACTGGCAGGGATATGAGCAGCGCCGGAGGCAAACTGACTGGCAGAAATACGGGCAGAACCATGGTCGTTGACGGGATGGGAATCAGTGCTGGCTGCGGCGATGCTGGGCACACGCAGACGAACGATGTTGGACTGGGTGGTGGTTCCGGTAACCTCACTGTCGTTGATATAACCATTAGCATTGTTCACAAATTCATCTTCTTCATCCTCGTTATCTGCATCAGAACTGAAACTGCGTAGCCAGGCAGCACCTGCACACAACAGTTTCTCCCCAGCTTCAGGGCTAGTCTCTTTGAAGTTGTTCTCAGGACGATCAGAGGAGTTGACTAACCTAGTGTTTGCATTGCGTCCGTCGGCGTTGGACGCAGCACGGCGGGAAGTAGAAGTAGAACCCTTGACGGCGTTCTTGGCATCGGCGGAAGACTTCTTGCCAGGCTTTCCACGCTTCTTGGGAGTCTCGGGAGTAGCATCATGGGCACGCTTGTTGGACTTCTTGTTCGCCTGCTTAGGAGTCATGGTCTCGGATCGCTCAGTAGTGCTGCCACCATTCTTTGTCTTGCGGATGGGACTAGGAGGTTCCAGAGATCCTCCACGGCGCAATATGCGAATCTTGGAGAGGTGCTGGCTAATGGCTCCCATGGTGGTGTGAGGAACTTGCTCACACATCTTCTTGGCAATGTTCTTCCACGGCAGCTTGACCTTGTCCTTCTGGCAAATGTAAGTCACGCACAGGAGGAGGTGGATATCGACGTCGTCTGTTCAGATCAAAGAGTCAGCCCAAGTTCACAACGTCTTTCCATCAAAACAACACGCGCAGATTTTCGGTGCATGCGGATTCCCTCACATGCATAAATCCGGATCGACAACACCGGCAATAATACAGGAAAGCAACCTAACTGAAAAGCGACACAAAAGAAATAATACATACCAGACCATCTGACCAGACCCCGGTTCTTGCGGTTTGGGCGAGCCTTGGGGCCGGGAGGAGCATCGCCCTCCTGCTCCTCGCCATCCCAGTCACTCTCCTCATCGGTACTGTCCGCATCATCATTCAGAGGGGACTCCTCGGCCTCTGTGGACTCGTCGACGTCGGATTCCTGCTTGATAGGGGGTCGAGCCATCTGAGGCTGCTGAATCTGCTGAGCCTGTTGAATTGGCTGAGCCTGATTAGAATTCGCCAGCTGAGCCCGCGTAGCCTGTCGGGTTTGCAGAGCCCGGGCAGTGGCCTGTTGCATGGCAGCGGCAGTCGCAGTTTGGCGTTGGAGGCGAAGTCGATCGGCCTCGGCCCTGTTGTCGGCCTCAGCCTTCTTCTTGTCGGCGGCTTTCTTCTTCTTTCCGCCAGCCATGATGGGCGGTGATTCTCGGATTCAATCTGATGCCAGCAGCCATTGTTAGCAATTGTTCATGAAAGGATCAAACGGGATGTATGGTGAATGTGTGGGGAAGTATGGGGTCAAAGGAACATGGCCACAATCGCAGTTACGATCGGACATCCAACAAAAAGTGCAATCATCCCATGAACAGGCCAAACAACGCCAGCGGCACCAGAAGGCACAGAATGAGCCTAATAGGTGACGCGCCATTGATGCAGAGCTTATTCAAGCTCATGCCAACCATTTGCCAGCCACAGGAAACAGAACAGCAAGGATAGCAAGGTCCCAAAGCAATGATGACTTGAAAGCTTCCAATGTGCCGCTGGAGTATACCATGAAGCTGCCCAGACAGTGGCACAGTGAACGAAGTGCAGGGTCTCAAGCTTGTTTGCCTGACCGCCGAAAGACAGCCCGAACAACCAGTGAAAGTATGCAAGCTTATGAGGCTCAGCGTGAACGCTGGAACAATGTAGGGTCTTTGGCAATGTGGGCTTGAAACTCCAGGGATCGGCCATCAAAATACCCCGCCATGAGCTCGTGCAGAGCGCTTGCCCGTGACTGGGAATTGCGACTGAATGTTTGACCACAGGCTTGCAGAGACTGCTAGCTGATCTTGGGCTGGGGTAGATGCGGATGGGGAAGCACGTGCAATTTGCGATGGTGAATGTGTGAGATCTCGAACATGCAATGGGAGAAGGGTGCAATGGACAGCGACAGCAAGGTCTACACGTGGTAGCCATGCCTGACTGCCACGAGCAAGCCAACATACTTGCCATCGACAGCGTGATCAACAGATCGTTGTGATACCGATGTGCAAGATGTGACGATGCCAAAGAGCAGGAGGATGGTGATGATGAATGGTGGATGATGGGCTTCACGAGATCTTGAGGAGATGAATGCAACTTACCTGTTGCTTGAAGCTTGAAGGCGATCGACGGTGTGTACGTCGAAAGGAAGGGGACGCGTGTACCCAGAACGCGTGGGGATGGTGAAGGGTGAGAGGAAGAGAAAGGAGAGTGAGAAAGTTTTGGGTCGATGGGATTTATGTCGGGGGGGGTAGGTCGAGCACTTTCAAAAAAGCTGACCAGATGTGAGGGCGGTCTCTGCAATATTTGCTTCGAGCGAGCTTGGGTACGGGGACGTTCGACCTCGAGGCTCAACACGTATGCTTCAGGCGTATCCCAGACTCGGACTACAACTTTTCGTGCCCACCGCGAGATGCAGTAGGTAAACGGAATCTCGCAATCGTCTTTTGGAACTACATTTTCAACAAAAATTTTTGCTTTGCAGGCCCTCAGAATGGTTACTTTAGTCGAGGATTGCAACCAGCAGGCAGATTGGAGTGCTGAAAGTTGATTATTTTGATAGAACGTTCCGCTATACTTCGACGCTTTTCTCGCGGGAACTACCTGCATTATGATATTGGTCACGCAACGCCGCCAAGATAAGTAAAGCTTCTGAATTTTTCCCGGTATCATACCAGAGGGTCATTTAGTTTACGATGCGAAGAAAAAATACTTATTCTGGACATGGTTATGTTGGCAATTGCTGTTGAAACAGGTATAGGCACAGTCGAAGTTAGTCGTTAGGGCTCGGCAAGCGGGTGACCTTGCGGTGATCGGAAGATATGTAACGCCGCCCTCACACCAACACGTGACCCATCATGGGCACGTGATCTGAAGGGCGGTGAGGACCGGCATTATCGATCTCATCCCGATACTCCGAGTCGAACGTTTCCAAACTCACCCGAACCGTTTTTACCCCCTTCAATCAATCCATTCACCTCCCACCCGCCTCAAAATGACTGCTGCCTGGAAAGCCGCCGGTTTGACGTATGGATCCACGACATCCCACGTAATTCAATGCTAACTCGGACTTTAGCTACAACCGCTACCTGGCCATCGCCGCCCGCACCGTGCGCCGCTCTCTCAAGGAAGAGGCCCGCCTCGCATCTGAGCGCCGCGGCCAGATGGACCTCCGTTTCGCCAAGTGGGAGGTTAGTGAACTGCTTCAGCTCCATTTCGGTCCGAAATACAGCTAACAAGTTCATGTTATGAACAGAACGGCAAGCAGGGTGAGGTTCGCTCGCTCGCCCAGGCCAACGACGCTGCCCTCGCCCAGGCCGCCGAGAAATAAGCTGTCTTCGCCCGTGAACCGAGAGAATGGAGCTTTTGAGAGATGGATGGCTCGAGTGTGACGGACTTGGGCCAGTTTTGGGCCCGGAGAGGCATTGAAATGTACATGTGTAGCAATACCGGTCTGTCTGGTTGGGCAGAGCCTAGAAATCGCACTCGTCTTTGTTTTTATACGATGTATAATTCGTCACATAGTTTCCGTAAGATATTCATATACTGCCCGAAGTGTGATGGGTTTGATGTCGCACGTCACCATAGGGGCCCGGTTATCGACTGCCCGAATCGCTTTTTCCTCCGCTCACAGTCCCCCGCCCTCCCCCTCGATTCGCCGAATTACCTCGAACCCGTCCTGCGGAGCTTAAAATCATTGTCCACGCGAGGATAATTCGCCAGTGGACTGCAGGTCCTTGGATTTTCCTCTGTGATGCTGCCGAACAATGAGGTTCGCGTTCCCCGTCCGCGGGTCGTTCAGTCCGCGGTCCCGCGCGACATCACCGCTGAATTCACAGACGCCGCCTCGAGTAAGTCTTTTACTCTGGAAACATATCTTCATCTCTAATTACCTTGTGTTATAGAGCTACATGGTGGCCAGCTCGTGAAAGATGAGATGTTCACGCTATTCGAGGCCGTGGGCGCATTGGAGGTGCGTCAGCTTTCTCACCGGGTGTGAAACATACGAGAATTGCCACTGACGACGGTCGATTGGATACAGATTATGGACTCCAAGATGGATAGCGGCTATATTGCACCCGGCGAAAATCTTGCGCAGGCGCTAGAAGACAACTACGATGTGCGACGGCCATTGACCCCAGAGGAGATTGTGGGCTTGATGGACCAGTTGCTGTGCCACGAGGTGGGGATAAATCCACGTTTGCAATGAAGACACAGTTGCTGATATGATTACAGGTGGCATGGCATAAGGGACACCCTCTGTCGCAGACTCTCTTCACGTCCATCTACCTCGACAGATTATTGTGGCCAGTACCTAGGACGATGGAGGACGCTCGTTTTGACCGTGTGCCAAGTGATTCGCCTTTAGTCAGCCTTGTGCTGCGAGCTTACTGTCTTGCCCTGGTTAAGGCGTGCGACTTGGTCCATGCTCGGGTGGCCACTGAATATTATTATGAGGTGAGTCGGCTGGTTTCACAAGCCCGACTGTTGCTAATCTCATTTGCCATTTAGGAAGAGGACTTCGTCAGTCAACTCTACAACCGGAACCTGCTATCTGCGTTCGACATCTCCCACTTCCACCGTCTGCTGGACCAGGCGGTTGCCTGGGTTGGAGACCAGACGGATATTGATGAGAAGCTCAAACAAGCTATCCGATGCAGGCTATTGTTCCGACACGAGCTCCTGTCTGCATTAGATCAAGATCTTGAGGTTCTGGAAACCAGATCGACGGAAAACTTTGCGTCATGTATCGCTCAACTGGGACCTCTGACCGAGTCTGTCTCATTAGGGAAGCCAGTGCCAGAGGCTTTCAGCTTAAAAATCCAGCGCAAGTTGGCGAGCACCGTGCCGCCTCGTCCAATGGTGCACATCAGCCATGATAATGCCCTGGCTCATATGAAGCGGTTGTGCCAGGATGCGATAGATATGCAGCAGATGCTTGACTATCGCGGTCCCAGCAATTTTAAGGTATGTGCTTGCAAAAGTTGATTATGGATTGGTTCTTACGATTGTACTAGACTGCTGTCTGGACCTTGCTTTCAAGAAAGCCGCAACCCTCAATCTACATTCGCTGTCTCCTTCAAGCATTGATCGTTAGCAATATGACCATTCTGGGCGCCGTGCCTGTCAAGGACTTCTTATATGACGACTTGGCGGAACTCGTCCTGCCTGCGAGTATACTACTCGAGGCCAACACCGATGAAGTTGAAATGCCTTCCGATCCTCGGTTCCAGATTGCACAGAAGATGGATGGCTTCCTAAAACGATTCGCTCAGCCATTTGTGGATACCGTGCGATGTGCCTGTCTCAACCGTTGTCGTGTCAGGCGGACAGTTTGCCATACTATCGTCGATTGGGATAATTTGCAAATGGAGGTCAGTCATTCCGTCTTTTCTTTCGGCAACTGGCTGTCATACTAATATTAGAACAGGCGGAAGAACTCGATCTCGAGCTTCGTACATTGAGCGCAGAGCCACCATTGCAATTCCAAGGCGGCGAGCCGACCTGGTCTTTCCCACTGAGCAGCTGGGCATACAACCAAAAGCTTGTCCATTTTCGACTCATTCTCCAGATGGGCTTTGAACTCTCGATCTATTCCCCAGAAGAGCTACCGGGCATGTACTGGTATCTCTCACATATCTGCTCAACCCACCTCGGCCACATTGATCGCATTCGCACGTTCACGGTTGCTGCACGAAAACGAGACCTGATGTCTGCTGGCACGCGCACAGGAAGCTCTTCCCAAAAGGCTTCCGCATTCCACAAATCATTCCATGCTCTGGAGAGACTGACCACCCACATAATTGCGGTCGATGCCTTTGCAATTGCCTTGCATGCATTGTACGTGGTGCTGGCTCGGCACAATGTGCTTCCATCCGCCTCTTCCTCCCAGGCATATTCCAGCGACCGCCTCCGCTACGAAATCCGCATGAAGCCATTTATTCCCATTACTTTGCCAGAGCTTGTCCCTTACGATGAATACAAGCGCGAGGCGGCCCTTGAGGGCGATTCTGATATCACCATCCTGGAGCGCGCTTCCAAGGCAATCACTGAAGCGAGAAAGGCATGGGAGGCCACCCTTGCCAACGGGGCATTCATCGATGATCCCTCCGCTGCGACTAAGGCGGTCCCTGTAGCCATTGAAGAGGACTGGAAGCGTGATGTCAAGGATACCATGCGTGCCTGCATTGGCACCAGCCTGACCATCGAGGCGGTTAAAAAGGCACTCGCGGCCTCTTCTGGTGAGAGCAAACCTCTCAACTTGGATGTTGTTGTTCCTGAAGTTGGCTCGAAGTCTCGATGGCATGATTGGTGGGTGGTTCCCCAGGTTTCAGAGAAGAAGTCGCAGTCTTGAAAGATAACTGTGGGTAGTTGGCGTAGCTCGGCATCTCCGAGCGATGCTGCGCTTTCAAGCCTATAGCCATTGGGGAAACTCTCAGTAGTTACGTGTACCAGTGATACCTTTTTATTATAGAAAATCATGACTTGATGCATCTCTTCACCTAACAGATTTTCCGTATGGGAGTTATGGGAACGATATCGCCCAATGAGAGTTGGCAGCTTTAATTGCAGTACATGTAATCAATTCGAGGTCAAACCGTCAAACTATCTTGTCAATATCTGCTGCAATATATGCAATGAAGATCATGTTCTTATACTTCAACTTATAGGATCAGGCCAGGGCCGCTGTCAACTTCCGTTTTGGTAAGGTCGAACCAAGGACCGTGCTGGTTATGAAGTCATCCACTCAACACGACACTTCCTCTCTCTCCTCCAACTTCAACCTCTCTGTCCGATGCTATACGGGAACCTTCGACACTCAATTGTGACTCATCACTTCTCTTTCCTCCAATTACCCTCTCCTCGGTTCTGGGAATAACCCCCGTCGTGGACAATCCGGGGCAGCACACGGACCACTTAGCTGGTGATAGGCACCGTTAGCCCCGATAGTCTTTTTGTACCGATTCGCCGTTGGTGTCCGGCCCAGTAAGAGCTGTCCATTTTCAGAACTCTCTCTCTCTCTACGATCTACGTCCTATGCCGCTCCCTCTTATCGTCCGCTCGCCGGAGGCAGCCTGTCCCATCCTTTTCTTGTCGATCGCGGGGCTCCGGCTGTGAAGTGAAAATTCCACATCATGCCGACCTATCCTATTCGTCGCCGACCGCGCGAGTGCAAGACCTGTCTACCATGCCGAGCGAGCAAAGTCCGCTGCGATCGCGGTTCTCCATGCAGCAATTGCACCAAACGCAATTTCACCTGCTCCTACGGTCGTCCACCCTCTGCGAAACTACCTATTCCTGCTACCGCCATCACTGCCTCCTCCACGCCTTTACAACCGACACCGTTTGTCTCTCCCATGATCTCGCAGTATGCCCATTCAGCACCGACCCGTGATGCCTCGTATGCGCCCGAAGCGGCCACGCGGGCCAGCGCTGATCCGGATTTACCGGACGTAATCGACATCTCGCAGGCGGAATGGGACGAGATCAACGCCAAAATGGTCGCAATGGAACAGATTATGGGTAGTCTTCACTCGCTTTTCCAGGCACATTCCACTCGCAAGCCGACAGATCTTGAGGCGGTTGATCGAAAGTCATCGATACGGTCGGAAGGTGTTTATGGGGCGAATGTCTTGAAGACGGGTGCGGTTCATCTTGGGTCGCGGTCGGCTTTGGTTGATATCTTGGATAAATCGAAGAGGTCGGAGGACATGGCGCAGGCGCTACCTCAGGATGACCTTCTTGCTGAGCTTGCATTGGGCAATGAGTCGGCAGCGTATCCTTTTGTGGATTTGTGGTCTTCTGATCCGTTTACTTTCAATATTGCTGGGGTGTGCGCGGTTCTTCCAGACGATGAGCAGTGTTTTCAGTGAGTTGTGTTCTGGCGGGTATTCTTTGATGCATGCTGATGTTGGATTCCAGATTCCTGGCGTTTTATCGAGATATAGGATCGGTGTTGTATCCGGTACTTTCAGACATTCCACAGTTAGAACGGCATACAACTCGACTTCTTGAGGGTCGACGACGAGCCGGGGGTGTATATAAGCCCGATGCCAACGGTTTGGTAAAGCCGTTTGGTATGGATTTGGCTTTTCTCAGTCTGCTTTTTGCGGTTCTTGCATCGGGGTGCCAGTTGTCGGACATTCCAGAGAGCGACCGTGAGTTGACCTCATGGGTATACGGTACGTTGTTGTTCCAAAAGACTGCGGATGTCATGCTAATTCTGTGAAGTATCCTGCGCATATCAGTGTCTTCGGATGTTGAATTATGTATCGCAGCCCACTATAGAAGTAATTCAGATTCTGCTCATTATTAGCAATGTACTTTCATACAACATGAATGCAGGTGCATCATATACCTTGCTTGGTATGTGTCAACTGCTCCCGGGGTCCTGTCAATGAATTGGTCAGCTAACCAATCTCAGGTATGACGGAACGAATGTGTCTTGTTCTAGGACTTCATGTGGAGTCGACAGGGTTCTCAATCGCAGAGCAAGCGGTGCGAAGGCGTGTCTGGTAGGCTTCTCATTTCATTGACATGTTGATCTCACGCTCACAATCTCCAGGTGGACAATGGCCTTTCAGAACAGTCATTTCTCACTTGCCTATGACCGACCATCTATCACCATGGTCAGTCAACCTGAGATCCCATTCGACCCCAAGTCAATGCCGGGTCATCGGTCATATTTCGAAACCCTTTGTCGCATTGTATCAGTGTCCTTGGAGGTTTTGCGCTCTCGCATGTTTCCTGATTCTTCACAGTCACGGGTCAATGAGATCCGAGAGTATAACCACCAGATTCAACGCATCCTCGCTGAAGCGACTCCTCATTTAAGATATCGAGAGAATTGCCACACTCTGGCCGACCATATCGAGCGCACCGAGCTGCGCCTGCACTCATCGTATCTCCTTTCTGTCCTGTGTCGTGTCTCCCTTGATCCGCATGCGCATTTAGACGATCAGCGTCGTGCCGTAATCCGCGAGGATTGTATCGGCAGCCTGGTCAACACCATCGAAGCCTTTGTCGAGCTGCATGAGATCAATTCTCACTGCTCACGATCATGGATCAGTCTGCAGCGCAGCATCGCATCGGCATTTTTGCTCATCGCGAATGACGACAGCACACGGACTTGGCAGTTAATCGACCGGTTGGAGATGGTTCTCGCGGACCACGTCTATGCCGATGGCGACGAGGACCAGAACAACCGCACCGATTCAGCCAAACATCTTTCTTCTTCGCTCCGCGCTCTGCGCGAGATCCGCGATACCTTCCGCGCTCGCAAGACCGCGACGACATCCTCGACATCTAGTCAGACATACTCGCCTCTAATCTTGCCATCGCCTCCTTCTGTCGATGTCAGTCCCGGTCTTTTGCCTGTCGCATCGGCCGGACCAAACAAGCAGCCGGGCGAAGGTCTGAACATGCGGAATATCCTAGGCCGTGTGTCGGACGTAATGTTATTCCCCAGCATGATCGGCAAGGACCCTATCTGATTGCTCATATACTTGCTTCATATATCCCTGTGTCACTTTATCATCTTCTCTCACATATTTCGTTCCTTTCTGCGCAGGCGTTGGGGAGGACATGGCATCGGGAATATACAATACCTGCCCATTTCCTGTGAAATCAGCACTTTCTACGCTATACACATGTATCCACTCCAAAAGTCCAAAGTCACTATTGGAAGGTCACACCAAAGAAGAAAAGGCAAAAAGAAGCAAAGAAGCAAAGAAGTACAAAAGTAGAAAAGTAGAAAAAATAGCCTCGCGCAGGTTCTCGGCACATCCTTAAATGTACCTCCGTCACCGAGAAATCCAAATTTCAGTGGAGAAAGGAAAAAGTCAAATAGTACTTCGGCCGATGGAATGTCGGATCGCAGCCTGGACACACCATAAATCAAGTGAACAAGCCACCCCAGAGCTGGCTTGGGCATCCGATCTACCCGGACCATCTCGGCCCTGACCTCCCAATTTCATCCCTCTGGGCCTATTATTGCCTATTATTTCCCTCTTCCCTCTCTTCGCGGCTCTTGTAGAGTGGAGTCTCAGCTTCGGCCGGCCGAGATATCCCCGGATCCTTCATCTCCGACTTGTCACTTTACTTGACGTGCATATTGCATAACTCCTCTAGACCCTGGTGACTACTATATATGTAGATATAAGTGCTGCAACATAAGGTGCTGCTAGTACTAGTGTCCTCCCTTGCATATATTACCACGTCTGATCGACTGTGCTTATGGCCTCGGGGTCCACTTTTGAACGGCTTCGGGGAGCATTTGTTGTGGAGATAATCCGTGTACCAGGTACATTTACTGCTTTCATCTGGATAAGTTTAAATCTCTCTGGTTTAGGTACTCTGATAGGAATATGCGACGCGAGGGATGGAACTATCAGACAAATAACTTGATTTTCTGATTTCAGGCTGCCATGCGTTTCGTGTTTGGCTTCCATGTCGTGCGATCCTGACTCGATACCATACCCCTGTTGCTTACTTTTTTCTGGCCCTATCGGTAAAGTGTCGATTGGTTTACGTATGCTCGTATGATGTTGGATTATTGGGTCATCTGTCATCTTGTCTCTGGGATGTTGGATTGGGGTTGAGATCGGTGTGTTTCGGCCGGTCATCCTCGGCTACATATCCTGTAGTTTAATCTTTCAGTCTTCAATATTTCTAGAATGCAGGGTGTAAGCATTCGGCTCCGAGACTTTTAAGAATCTTACGAACGAATGCTGTTCTTTTGATCGTCTGATCAAGAATATGAGATGCTCTTCGGCCGAGAGCGGTTTCTGGTGTTGTTGTTTATGGCTCTCGAAGGATTGTCAATGCATGATGTTCATCAAGACATTATGTAAGGAGTGGATGGACACAGCAAAAGTACTCGATCGTATGAGGCTTTGATATGGTTCCATGATATATTTTTGGCACACTACCGTCCAATTTGCTTTAAAAGGAAACTTATACGGCAAAGTGACAATTAATATATCGTCCTACGCTCATTTAGAAGGACGGAATATGCTAGAGTATTGATCCAAAAAGGAGTCTTTATTACTTGCTTTTTTGCCCTTCTAGACTTTGTGACAAGTCCGGATGAACGACAGGAGTGCATAATCTAGGGCTTAGGGAGTATTCTAGATGCGGCTATAAAAGAAGCTGCATTTCGCTCAAATCCTCATGCAGAATACAGAAAGCCACTTAAGATAAGGACATCTGGTGGTGAATTGACTTTATACCCTAAAAGATGCCTAGATCATGTTGATTGCAATCGCCTTTGAAACCCGCTAACCCTATCCCTTTGGGCCAGACATGAACGAGAATATGGAGGTAGAGGTACAACACAAGGATGCCGTCATTGCTTAAATTGGCCATTGGAATTGGTCGAAACATCTAGCGAGCTCTTTCTTGGAACCTCGAGACTTTTTGTGCTCGTTTAAATACTAGACTAGATCGACTAACGTTGGTTGATCTCTGAAGATCAGGCCAAACAAAGTGAATTAGCAGTCAACCATGGCCATTTCTCGCTAGGGTTGTACTATTAATACTACTGCCCTTCGCCGAAGTAAACTCCATCTGGATTGGTGAGATGAATAAAGTAGCTCCTAAGATTTGACTACCTTTTGTCTCTGCACTCCTCATTGTTGATGATTTTATCTTTAAGGCACGCCAGCAAGTTTGCTGTTGGGTGAGATAACTTACTGTATGCACTCATGCGTTCTCATTAGCAAAAGCAATGTGCGTCACTGTGGCTGATCGATAGCTTATAGGACATGTCATTCGCTTTTTATGGACACACTTTGCTTTCTCGGTACGCTGCATTAGTTTTAGCTGCATGAAATGTCACCATCTAACCACACTCAGTATCATAGGTTCCACAGACAAGAAGAGCGCCAAAAGGAGACGACTGAGCTGGAAGTTGAATCCGACTCCCACGAAGTCCACGAAGTCCACGATGATGCCAACAGCGGCTTTTTAATAACGTCCGATGCCACAGATTTCAAGCCACCAAGCAGATCCAGTTAATATAGATGTGAGACATCACAGCCCAACTGCATGACACTCGTATACCCCAAGTTCGTCCAACCCCCACACCGCCAAAAAAGACCGAGCAGACTATCTTGTGATATCCCCAATTCCCGGGGCCCCCAGATCTACACTCCTCAATCTGAGACAATAGTCTAAAGTCACATCACTAATAGTCCTTCGCTAACAACTAAATTAAACAATGACGGAATCAGATGCCTCCTGCGCCGCCCGCAACTGGACCTCCAAGGAACAAAGCCACTGCACTACACCAGAAACGTGCACCTCTTCAACGGCGCAGGCAATCGAGACCACCGGGCCCTCGGCACAAAATACAACCTGAAAGATCGTGGGCCCGATCCCAATTATGAGGTCATAAGCACCCACTTCCTTCAAGCGAATACCACCATCCCCGTCCCGACCGTGGCGCAGGAGGGGACCGAGAAATCCCGGCACTTCACCATGGTCGAGCGGGTGCCTGGGGTCCCGCTGGAGAAAATATGGTCATCCATGCCGCAGTCCGCTCGGGAGGAATTGGCTCGCTGTACTGCGGAGTATCTGGGGCAGCTCCGCTCGTTCCAGTCGGAGACGATGGGGAGTGTGGATGGGTCACCCCTTTACTGTGGGTTTCTTTTTCCGGGGAAGGGAAGTGAGGGTTGCCAGGTTCCCCATGGGCCGCTGAAGACGGCTGAGGAGCTCTGGAGGGAATTGGAGAAGTCTTTGGATATGAATAGCTTGGATGTTCCACTGGCCGTGAGAGTGCGGCTCCGGGATTGTATGTCTGATCCTGCGCCTTGGACGTTTATTCATGGCGATTTAACGAGTTGCAACATTATGGTGGATCCTACGGCCTATGAACTGACTGGTATTATTGATTGGGAAAGGTCCGGGTATTTCCCTGTGTGGTAGGAGTTTGCCTTTGCGGCGGTTGGACTAGTCCTAGGGCCAAAGAATGGAAGGATCTGCGTCGCGGAAATTTGGCCAATCACGAAAAAGCGCTGGATTGGTGGCTTGATTTCAAGGTGTTCACGGATTGTGGTTGGGTTCCGGGAAGAAAGAAGAGGCTCTTGGAGGAGTGCGGTATAGATTCTATGTAGTATAGTGTCTATAGATGGAGAATTGGGATCTCATACATGTTCTAGTACGGAGCTAGCTTACATTGTTACTCAATAAGTAACTTAACGTTAAGATCAGGGAGAACGCAAAGAAGCAAACAAAGATGAACACTTAAGCTTTCCACTCGGGGTTTAGCGAGGAGACGATCCTATCTATATTGGTTCATAGCCCGTGGTGACTCGGTCACTAGATGCAGCCGGGTCGACTCGTCTATCCTCATTTCTTTTGTCTCACTTTTCAAATTCATAAGACCAATTTACTCAACAGTCCTGGCCAAAATACAGAAGCGTTCTTATGGAGGGTGAAACGAGGTCGTAAAAAGAGAGAGCTGGACCCCTGGACAAAGACTCAATTTGGGGTGTTGGGGTACTGTAGGGAACCGGTTCACAACATTTGCAGCTAATTCCAAGCCGTCAATCCGTTTACATGTCTCCGCTGACGTCGGAGACGGTCTAGTACCTGCATCGGGAAATTGTTGGTGAGAGATGGTGGAACAACTGGGGAAGACGAAAGGGATCAATGCCGCTCCTTACCGCTTTGAGGCCAACTCCGAGCCCCCTCATTTTTGTTCCTTACCAACTCCCAACTATTCACCACTCACACATTCACACCAGAGCCAAGTCGCTGTGGGGACCCCCGCTTCCGCACGCTTGAGCCTCCGAAGTCCCGCATAATGGACGATACGCCATACGCAGCTTGAGAACTGGTCCTGCATCCCTGCTCAATTACCACCAAGAGGCGCACATGTGCCTGACTCCGTACCTCGGAGCAAAATGCCTTTGCTTTTGGCCCTGCAGCTAGTAGTGCCGATCCCTACCTAGTTCCCAGGCACGTCTTATACACTAGACTGTGGAGTTATGATGAGCCTTGCTCATCACATGGTAGCCATCTGCCTCGGTGTCGATCCCATCTCCTCGGGAAAGGAGCTAGCGAAAAAGTATGCTAGTGCCATTGCGGTGATAGACCGCGTCTGGGTGTAGGATCGGCACCCACAGCCCAAATAAAGACCTCGCCCGCTCCAGCAATGGCTCTTTGATCTCCTGAAGGCTCTTCCGTTGCAACAAACCTTTGAACGACAGGTTTGCGGAATCGAGGCCATTGGACCGGGCCCGACAACATATCAATCAGAAGGAGAAGTAGCTTGGAGAACACAACATGCGTTTCTTGCCAGTTTTGACCACCGCGCTCCTGCTCGCGGTCAACGTGACAGGACAAACACCATCTGCAGCTTCTGCTGCTGCTGGTACTGTCGCGCCTGTTGCCAATTCGGCGAATTCCAATGCCAATGCGAATGCCAACAATGAGGCTGATAAAGCTGCCACAACCACTCAGCAGGCGGTAAACCAGGCCAACCAGCAGGCGGCTAACACCCCTGCTGTGGACCCTACTACTGCTGCTGCTGATACAGCAAAGGCCGCAGCCAACACTGTTGCTCCTAGTCAGAAGGAGGACACTGCTTCTGCCAAGAACGCCCCTACCGCGTCGGCGGAACAGTCTAACCCCATTGAATCTGCTGTTGCCGGTATCGTCGGAGGTGGTTCTTCGACTGGCTCTGGATCTACTGGTAACTCGGCTGCAGAGACCCCCCAGGCTAGCGCAACCTCTTCTGCTGCCTCTTCCGAGGGCACCTCCGGCACCAAGTCTACCTCTTCCTCTGATTCATCAAGCGGAATTTCCTCCGACGCCCTTTCTAGCGCCCTCACGAACCTGCTCGGCGGCAGTGGGCTCGGAGATATCGGTGGTGACATTTCGAAGCTCACCGAAGGTTTAGGAAACCTGCTTGACCCTGGCTTCCTTAGCGAGGTTACCAACACCTTCAAGTACCTGTCTACTAGTCTCGCTCCCCCCGTCGACACCGATATCCGCAGCCTGGTTGCCAATGCCAACAACCTCTTGACTGCTGACTTCTCCAAGAAGGTCGGTGGCCTCATCGACAATGCAAACGAGCTCTTGACCGCGCAGAACACCAAGGAGATTATGAGCTTGATCAACAACGCCAACGGCCTGTTGACCACCCAGTTCGTCAACAAGGTTGACAACCTCATCGACAACGCCAACAACCTCCTCACTTCTGGATTCGTCAAGAAGACCGATACCTTGATCGACAACGCCAACAAGCTGCTCACGGACAAGTTCGTCGAGGAGACCACCAACCTCATTGGCAAGGCCAGCCCTCTCATCGACGAGGCCAGTGGCCTTCTTACCGACGAGAACGTCAAGGCGATCGAAAACCTCCTCTCGGGTGCCAATAAGCTGCTCACTCCTGACTTCATCTCGACTACCAGCAAGCTCATCAAGCAGGCTGGCCCTCTTATCAACCAGGCCAGCGGTCTCCTCACCGAGGGCAACGTCAAGGCGATCGAGAACCTCCTGTCGGGCGCCAACAAGCTGCTCACCCCTGACTTTATTTCGACTACCAGCAAGCTCATCAACCAGGCCGGTCCTCTCATCAACCAGGCTAGCGGTCTCCTCACTGAGGGCAATGTCAAGGAGATTGAGACTCTGCTCAGCAATGCCAATGGTCTCCTGACGGACAGCTTCGTGAACCAGACCTCTAGCTTGATCGAGGAGGCCAGCGACCTTCTGACCCCAGCTGTTGTCAGCGGCCTCAAGGATCTGCTGACCCAGATTTCTCCTCTCCTGCCCGAGCTCAAGGGTCTACTCAAGGCCGACACTATCAAGGAGATCGAAAACCTGCTGAGCAACGCCAACGAACTGCTCACCGATAAGTTCGTCAAGGAGACCTCCAGCCTGATCGACAATGCCGACAGCCTCCTGACTCCCGACGTGGTCAACAGCCTGAAGTCTCTGCTCGGCGACATCACTCCTCTGATTCCCGAGCTAAAGTCACTCTTGACAAAGGACATGATCAAGTCTATCGCCGGACTCCTGACCAACGCCGAGGACCTCCTCACCCCCAAGTTCGTCAACGAGACCTTGAGCCTGGTCAGCGAGGCCGACAGCCTTCTCACCCCGGACCTCACCAGCAGCCTGAAGTCACTCCTCGGCGCCGTCACCCCTCTGATCCCCGAGATCAAGTCTCTCCTGACCAAGAACACCATCTCGGCCATCGGCTCGCTCCTGACAAACGCCAACGACCTCTTGACCCCCAAGTTTGTCAACGAGACCACCGGCCTAATCGACAGCGCCGACGACCTCCTTTCGCCATCCCTGGTGTCCGGCCTGAAGGAACTCCTCGGCGACGTCATCCCCTTGGTCCCAGACCTGAAGCGCTCCCTCCTGAACTCGACCATTATCACAGACCTAGGCTACATCGTGACAAACGCAACAACCCTGCTCACACCCGCCTTCGTCGCGGATACCTCCGACCTGGTCGAGAACGCCGACGGCCTCCTCACCCCGTCTATCATCAGCTCTCTCAAGGATCTGCTTGGATACCTACCGGATGTGATGCCCGAGGTGAAGAAGCTGCTCAAGCCGGCTACTATTACGGAGATCGGTTCGCTGTTGGAAAACGCTAGTGACCTCCTCACGCCTAAGTTCGTCAATGAGACTACTCTCCTGATCGATGATGTTACCGGCTTCTTGCCGATCATTCAGGAGTTGCTTAAGGCGCTGTGAGTGAGTTTTTTGTTATGAATTTCTTATATCCTTACGGAAGCAATCATGATTTATAATGTGGTTTAATGATAATTGATGGTTCATTATGCTTTTTTCTCCTCTCTCTGAGTATTTGTAAAGAACGTGGAAGTAGATGTAAGATATTTCCAAGGTTAATTTGAATACTCATGATTTAGCTGGTCCGGATCATCCTGCAAAGACTTCTCCTGTCCTGGTGATGGAGACTTCCCCTGAACAACCAAAATTCGCAACTGTCGATCATCCGCCCTCACCCTACCCATCTCGGCCTGTAACCCAAACATGACTGCAAATTTCAACATGGTCGAGTCGCTAGGGTGTGGGGAGAGGGAAACGTTAGGGTGGCCATGGACCGTTGGATTTACCGACACAGTTGACCTCTTTATATGAGGTTCTACCATCCCAAGTTTGATATTGTATATGCATCAATGCACATGCCCGCCCCTTAAAAGCTGTTCATTGAATATACACTATGAATAGCCGTAACGATAATTCCAGAAGTAGAGTTCTGGTTTTATGAACCAGAAGTAGGAGTAGACTGAGGCCACCACACCATCGCCCACAAGGGAACCCCCGGCCCACCAGGCTGAAGACTCGCATCAGCAGCAACCTTGCCCTTCCCAAGCACAATCTCCTCGACTTCTTCGAAGCCCATTGAGAGGTAAAGACCACGTGAGCTTGGCGTCGTCGCCTCTAGCCAGATGGGGAGATTGTCTGCTTGGGCTGCCCGCTGGTGATCCCGCATGATAGCTTTTGCCAGTCCTGGGAAGTATCAGTATGGGGGAAAAAAAATAAAATAAAAGGGGATGTGACGCGGGTAATGAGTGTCCTACCTTTGCCGCGGTGCTCGTGCTCAGTTCCTAGACTGAAGACGTAATAATAGCGCTTCTGTCCGTGCAGACCTTTCCTCTTTGCGTTGTCGGTCATGCCTGAGAATTCATACCAAAGACGCTATATGATACTCAGATTAGTATAGCAATTTCAATTTCTTCCCCTTTGGACATAATTCAGCCCTGCAAACCGTACCTTAAGCCCAGGAAGTCCAATCCTCCACAACACGTCCAAAAAACCGGCGCAAAGCAGACTCCAAGCATTATCAAGGTATCGACCCGGCGGAAGAAGAACCGACGCAGCCTTCCAACCATCCGCCTCTGTGATGAGAGCGTCATTCCACAAAGCGGACTTAATTAACGTTGCCCAGTATGTCGGTAGGTAAGCTAGTCTTTCTTCCCGAGAGAGATCTAGAAGCATGTAGGTAATGACGGGATCGGTGTCGAAGACACGGCCGTTCAGGGCTGCTACTGAGTTGAGCAGATCTGTGATATACTGTAGTCAGCATCTATCCAAGCTGACGGCTCCAATCGAGGCACTTACTCTGGCCGCCGTGCGTGATTGGGACTGACCGCGCCATGGTTGGTATTGTACGTCAGGCCGGGATTCCTCGACACATGTGAGCGATGATGTGTTGGCTCCTCCTGGAGGTTATAGTAGCCATTATAGGGTGGGAGATGTGGAATGGCGAGAAATTGTTTCTTTATGCTTTCTGGCAACGACGTAATGGCTGTTATGTAAGCTGGTCACAGGGTGGTTCGTTCCACGGAACTTGGGAACTATTCGGGATCTTGTTTTGTCTTCCTGTCCATATCAGCTGAACTTCAATCTCAAGCTTTGATAAATTGAAGATGGTTCATCTTCGCTACCGACTCGGTGGATACGCGTGGAGCCCTGTTCTGTAGCCACAAGCTTTGGCCTGGGCTGCTCGAACCAACCCGCGACTATCTGAGTCTGGCACTTGGGGCATGATTTGCTATAGAGTGTTTCGTGCGACACAACAATAGCAACGCTCATCTAATCTGGTGAGATGATCGGCCAAAACGATCGAAATTTTCGTTAAGGAGAGAAGCCAAAAAGAAAAACAATTCGACAGGTCTTAGGGCCGGGAGTCCCGCGCCGGGTCCTGCGTTTCCAGATGCCAAGCCCGTCCGTGAAACAATCATTGACGATGCCTTGACCGACTGTCAATTGAAATGATGCGTTGCTCTCGGACTTCGAAACAATCTGTCCAAGTTACTGAGAGCAACCCTCAAGTACTGTATGCCATTATCCTCGGGGCCATGATAGGTCTATCGTTGGTTTTGACAGGGATTCCTTCGCGCTATTCCACTTTCATACAGTGGAGTGGGACTGCATCCACCAGAGTTGATAGCTTCGCAACAAACAGAGCTCAAACAGCCACACAAAATGCGGCAATAATGTGATGTGAACTGATCAATTTTCCCAGCCCCAGGGCGCACATTTGATGCAAACTTTTCTTCTGCTCTCTGGAAAAGGAATGCCTTTTCTATTCCTGACTCCTTACCCTGCACCCGTGTACTTGTCTATCGCGCTGTTGTTTTGTGCACTGTCTACATTCAGATAATCCTATCGAACTGCTCATGTTGACGGTTGAAGGTGCACCTCCATCTCGCACAATTGCCATTGAAGTTGCCGTCAACATTTCTGGTGCTGCTTTGCGAAAAAAATCGGGTGTCATGGGTCTCCAGCTTGTATCGGAAAACGAGGGACAAGACATTGTTGAGCATGTCAAGCGTTGGATTGAGCACGGGTTCGATCCATATACCTCGTTGACTAAGGATATTGCCAATGCGTATTTCAATCTACTCCCTGGGGATACCCAGCAGCGGCGGCAGAACCTTGGCATCGGATGGCAGACCAGTTTCGTGAGGAACAATAAGGAATTGTCCGAGCTTTTTAAAGAACCAAAATTCGAGCGAGACCCAGAAAGAATACAGAGAGGGCACCAGAACGATAGCGCCGAGAAGTTCTTTTCAATATACAGAGATTTCAAGCTCCAACACCTGGTCGCTACCGGAGATGTCCACGCCTTGGCAGAGGCTGCATATCGCACCAGCGTATACAAGAAGACCAACCTAGTATTTGGTCGACCAAAGAGAACGGCCACGCGAGCCGAAGAACGCCAATTTTCTTCTGTTATTCACTGTTGTTCATCTCGAGGGAGACACCTGCTTCCTTACATTGTCTGCAGGAGTAAGGATCCTCCCCAGACCCGCGTGTTTCGAACAATTACTATTTCCTCCAACGAGTCAGGCTGGGCTGAGTATGCACATGCCTTGGATTGGCTTAGGAATATTTTCGAGCCCAAAACCAGACCTCCGCCTCGATCTGACGGCTCCCCTCGATGGAGAATTCTCCTGGTGTCCCGTCGGTTTAGCGTGAGCCCGGAATTTGAGCAATATTGCTGGAAGAAGAACATTCTTTGCCTTCCTTTCCCTCTGAATGACCAGAAATTCTTCAATCCAATGGAGAACATTGCTCTCGGGGCTATGAAAGCGAGCTATACAGATACCATGATGCAGAAGTTTGTGGACAAACAGAATGTCTCAATGGAGGTGGAGGACTTCGCCAGATGGATACAAGGGGAGATAAAGTCATCCAAGAGAGCAGAGGAAGCCACAGAGTACTGGCGCAAGAGCTGTCTCATCCCGCTAGATGAAGATCGTCTTCGCAACTGTTTGCAAGGGAAGCGACCTACGGCTGTGCCGGACGAAACAGACTCGATTGCGAACAGAGGCCCCAGCTTGCCTCGTGTACGCTCCAGAAGTTCTATGGTCCAGACGCCCATGACATCATGTACCCTCAGTGCAGAATCCACACCTCGGACGAGTGTGTCTCTGCCGGTTCTTCCCACCATCGAGGTAGGGAAGCGAGATTCCACCGTCGAGCCATCATATGTGCAATTCCCCGACAGCCAACAGGAGGACATTGACCCGTCAACAAACGATCATACTGAAGGCGACAGCTCATCAGACAATGAGAGCGAAATCGAGAATGATTCGGCCAGTGTCTCTCATGTTTCTCAATCGGTAACTCCATCAAGGACACCACGGCGACCAAAGACCGCGCCGAAGACCCCGAAGTCGGCCAGGCCAAAGCCTCTAGACTCAGAACCGTCTGGTTTAGTCATGTCTGCCCAAAGGCATTGTGACACGTTGGATGGTTGCCTTGATGGGACACCTCGCACCAGAAAAAGATTGAGGGACGCTCTGATGATTGATCGTTGCGAGTTAGAGAAGGAGAATGCCCAACTAAAAGCCAAGGTTGATATTCTGACGAAATTTATGTCCGTTAAGAAGCAGAGGATTGACTGAGATACCCCGTTTGGCTCTATTCCCTTCCTCTGACCTTTGTCCGATGTCACAATCCTGTACCGTATGATACCTCACCCAAAAGCACTCATCTTTTTGTATATAGATGAATCTCCTTACCTTCCAAAACTTATTACGCTGAATGTGCGATGAGGCCGTCAACGTAGTTTCTTCGCCTGTGTATCCCGGGACCGGAACCGCGATGCCTGCCGGGACCGCGTCTGAGCATCAAACCTCAACATTGACGACCACATTCACTTTTGATTTATATCTGCCATAAATCGAATCCCTTCCCAAATCCTTTCTCTTCATTCTCCTCAACTACGCCACACCCAATCCCACCACATCCGTATCCTACAACCGCAACAATGGACAAAACGGTCCTCCTCATACTGGACGTCCAACGCGGCGTAATCGACCGTCTGGAAAACACAGAGAGCTATCTAACCCGTCTATCCTCAACCCTGGCCGCAGCCCGCAAAGCCAACATCAAAGTGGTCCACGTGGTGACCGGCTTCCGCCCCGGCTATCCAGAAAACAACGCAAACAACACCTCCGTGCCAGCCGTCGTTGCACGCGGCGAATACCAGCAAGGCATGGAATCAGTGGAAGTGCACCCAGCCGTGGCTCCCACCGACAACGAAGTGGTCATCATGAAACGCCGCATCTCGGCTTTCTTCGCAACTGAACTCGATATGATCCTGCGCTGCTTCCAGACCCAGACTATCGTTGTTGCTGGTTTGATCACCAGTGGTGCTGTGCTCTCTACTGTGCGTCAGGCTATGGATTTGGATTATCGCGTCACTGTCATTGAGGATTTGTGCATGGATCGTGACGAGGAAGTTCACCGTGTGCTTATCGACAAGGTTTTTGCGCGCAAGACAGAAGTTGTTTCTGCCGTGAATTGGATTCTGGAGATCGGGAACTAGCGTTGCGATATGGGATGAAGGGTTCAATTCACTACAGTATTGCTGACTTGTGTTCTTCATGATGTACTTGGGGTTCCACCTGTGGAGTGACTGACTCGTGGTGGGCCCGCCGGGCGGTCCTCGCTGATTCAAGTTTCAGCAAAGTTACAGCTCAAACATCTTATCAATGTTCATTACTGTTTCTCCCTTCTTCATTCTCCTATGCTCAATATGCCACTCAAACATCCACTGCTTAGGTCTTGGAAGATCGGAAGGGCTTTGATAGCCTGAACCTAGTTGAGGGCCGTCCGATCCCTGACCTGGGGGACTCCAACGTCCTGGTCAAGCAATACGCCGCATCTCTGACTTACCGAGATCTAGACATTGCCAAAGTAAGTAAACTCATCAAACATATCTCATAAACCAGCACATATAGTCTTATTTTTCACACCACCGGTGATGAAATTCCAAAGAAACCTATGCTAACAAAACCAGGGATCCCTCCCCCTCCCATTCTTCACCCCAGGTGTAGTCCTTTGCTCCGACGGCGCAGGAATAATCGAAGCAGTAGGCCAAAGTGAAAGGATTCAAAGCATGCAACAGTATCTGCACACATCTCGTCTCACAACTCCCAGCATCCGAAGTCCCAAGCTTCTCCGATATCATCTCCGGACTGGGACAGGACCTGGATGGAACGTTGCGCTCACATGGTGTATTCCATGAAACTGCTTTGGTGTCTATGCCATCAACCCGAGATTTCATCGCACATATAATTGCTTTCTCTTATCATTCCTGATACCAACGTGCTTAAAATCTATTTCTATGACCAGAGGAATAATTTGTGTTAATTCTGCCTTGTTCATTCGCTTAAATTGACTATACCAACTAAGATATCTACATCTTGGGCTTTGTAGGAGTCGCACAGCAAGCCGGCTCAGGGTGCAAAGTCGACTTATTGAAAGACTGACTAGAAGCCGGCACATCCAGCGCAGGATTCTTAGTAAAGAACCCATCCGGCTTGAGCATGACACTAACACGCTCCATGGGCATAACCGGGAAATCCTCGATACGCGGGTTATGAGTGAGACCGAAAGCTGCAAATTGGTTAGCTACAACACACAGCAACGAATTGCAAAAAGGGATAAGAGAATAACATACTATGCCAGAGAACAAGGTCTTCGTCCTCAACGGTATCGTTCCGTCCAGCCCATACTTCCACACCATCAGACTGCTTGCTCTGGTTTGTGAACTCGCCAGCAGCGTAGAGCTCGTCGTCCTGGTATTTAGTCACCCAGATAGGGCGGGTAGCAAAGCGAGCGCGCTTCGCGCCGAATGAGTTCGGGTGTGCGAGGAGCATCTGGCTCGGCGAGGTTTGCAGCTTATAGGCGATGGGATGGTGCGTGATAGGGTTGATAATATGGTCGTTGCGAATTTTGAACACGCGGTGGCGTTCAACGCTAGTCGATGCGCTGCCGCTAGACTTTATGACATTTTGCTCGGTTGTGTAGCCGACTAGATACGGGTTCGTGTCATCTTCAGGCATTGGCACGCTGTCTTCGTAGTAGACTGTGTTTTTGAAGCCGTCGAGCGCTGGGTCGATGCGGAGGGAGAACATGTGCTGGTGGAAGGGAGCCATGACGCCCGGTCCGACGTTCGTGCCCCATGGGACTGTTTCGCCGTTTTGGTTGTCGAAGGGGACTGTAGAGAGGATTCCTGTTGCTCGCACTTCGAGCTCAATGTTGGCGGCTTGATCGAGGATGAATGCGAAGATGTATTCGTAGTTGGCGACTGTGCAGATCATTTGGACTACGAGTTGGCGGTTGCGGACGACTGTTGCTGCACCGCTGCGGTAATTTGTGTGCTTATGCTGGAGGCCGTTGTCTTGCTCGTGCATGCAAATGACGTTCTTAAGCTGGATCGGGGCTCCCTGAGCGTCTGTGCGGTAGCCGTCGAAGTACTTGATGTGTCCGAGACAGTCGCAGCCGAGGCTGAGTTGGTTAGCTGTGATACCGAAGCCGACATCGCCGACGTCAAAGGCTTGTTTGCGGTGGTAAGGAGGGCGAGGGTCTAAAATATTAGATATGATCATTGAGGGGGAGTGTGATGAACATACCGCCGTATGGAACCGTCATCTCGGAGAAAGAGAGCCGGTAGAAGGTGTTACGACCATCGTAGGTCACATTGTGAAGCACAAGGCCCTCTCGGTTGTTAAAGCCCACTCTGAAACGCCATTTCTGCCATGACACAGCATTGCCAATGACATTGAACGACGCGCCCTCCGGTTGCTGGACAATGTAGGGCTTCAGGTCTGTACGCAGGGGCTCATCGAGCAATTCATGAGCATACTGAACAGTGGGCACTGGCTTCCAAGGCTGTGTCTCGTTCGTCTGAGCGCTTGCACCGCCAGGTAGATAGTCCATGCGAACAAGCTGGCGGGTGATGCCGTCAAAAACCGGGGAAAACTGGCAAGGCAAGGAATACTGGTTATTCTGAGGATGATCCGTGGCCACAATATACATATAGCACTGAAACAAGCGGCGGGTCTCTTTGACATCCTCAGTGCCGTAGATCCACGGATCCAAGCACACCGTGTGGCCAGCCGGGAGCTGCAATTTCTCAATCTCAGCTTTGACAGCCGGGTGACCGAGACAGAGCTGCTCGATCTCGATCATCTCGTCAATATCCACTGGGCCCTGGACATCCTTGGGCAGCTCCTTTGCTGACACAATAGACTTGGTGTCGGCGTTGATCAAGGCCTTGAAGAAAGATCCGTTGTCGAGACGATGGAAGAGGACCATCAACAAGCGAGCTGGCTTGCGTGGGCGCACTTCACCCCGACGCTCAGCTTCGAGGTATGGAACGACTTCATGTTTGGCCGGTTCCTGGAGATCAATGCGCTTGTAGCGCAGCTTGACACCGGGGAAGGCGGGCTCCAAGACGGAGACGGCCAATTGAATCTCCCCAGGGGTGATGGGGTCGAAGGGGTGAAGGTTGGCCATTGTGAATTAATGAAGAGACTTTCTTTCAAGGACGGATATGGCGAGAGTCTTATATCGCACAGACAGACATCAGGGCTGTCACTTTGGGTAAATCTTGCGCGCGGTTGGGAATGTGATTGGCCAATTGTAACCCACCGGGCGTAACTTTTCCTTCAAACAGTTTAGTGTGTAAACTGGCGATAAGAACAGCGAAAGTACTATTGGCGTGTGGAGGTGGGGGGTGGAGAAGGTACAAGGTACATGGACTTCAACCCCAACTGCCACCTAGGAAGTATAAGCTACGAAACGTGGCATACCTCTACACATGTGAATAAGTGGTTCGAAACACCGATTGTTCCGTCTGTCTGGGATTGGATTGGGTTGCAAAATCAAAGAGTTGGTCATCACAAGCTAACCCCTGAGCTTCTCTCTTAACTGTACTTGTATCGCTCTCCACGCTATTCTTCTAGGATTCATATAAATCCTCAGAGATGGTTCTGCCCAATCAGAACTCACGTTCAAAATCGGCTCGGAATTTAGGCCAAGAACCGGAATATCTTTATTCCGAGGCTCGACGCATTCTATATACTTCCCACAGATGCCAAACACTTTGCTTCCTTTCACTATAAACTCCGCTGTGATTTGTGATGGCGACAGAAAAGGAAGCTGTTTTCAACCTTGCCATGGCCTATTATACGCCACAATCATCAACTCTTTTTATCTCATCTTAGAGCACCAGATTCCTTACTATCAAAGTGCGAGGAATGACAATCTCAACCTGCCAATCAAAAAAATATTCATTTGGGATGTTCATGGGAGGGGGAGGGGTGATTGGAGGTCGTCTTTGAAATATGACAGCAAATTTGTGAGAGTTTTGCGTACTCGTACCTGCTTGTAAATGGCAGTTTTGATCAGTGCAGAATAGTGAGCAAGTACATATCATAAGCAAGCTGTAACGATAGTTATAAAGATACAATTCCCTCAAGTTCCTCCCATGCGAGCAATAATCTAGTCCCCGAAATCCTCAACCTGATTCTCTGTGCTTAATGACATTCCCTTAGGACGCATTAGTACCCATTACGCAATGAACACATTCATCATGCTCATTTCCTTGCCACATAAAGTCTGCCTTGGGTCGATTGTGTGAGCCTTTCTCGCACCACTTCCAGTCCCGAACGCAAAGCAAGCACACCGACATAGCCTGAAATGGAGCAGGACGACTCCTCTCACAGTGAATGCACCAGAAAAGGTCAGAACCGGGGGCAGCTTCCATGTCAACGGAGCTATCTTTCCTAGAGCGCTCTCTTCCGGAAGAGAAATCATCCGTCACTGAGTAAGGTTCACAATCGTCGGCCTCTTGGCAGGACTGCTCAGCCTTGGTATTAATTTTCGAGGAAGGCTCCTTGCCTAGGTCGTTGACGCGCTTGATGGTAGTGGTGATGGTGATGACAGTCGTGCTGGTAGTCTCGTTGGTAGTGCTGCTCACGAATGCGGGTGCGATTGTAACAGAAAGGCGAGGATTGTTGTCTAAATCAGATGATAATGATTGGGACACCTGATTGCTGACAGGGACTGTGACTGCATCAGTACATGGCTTTCTGGTTGCTGAGTTGTTGAGATCGTTGTTTGCATCGGCCACTAGCTGGGTTTCACTTTTACCTCTCCTTCTATAACCTCGGTGATACTGGTTTCCAAATCATTTTATTAGGTTAAATGTGTCTCGTAGGTCTGGAGGGTCTTACGTTTCAGCTCTTCTCCCTGCAAGTGTCACAACACAGAAATAGTGTCTCGCCGCCGTTCGGCTTGATGAAGTGAGCCGATGGCTTTGGTTTCAAACACCTAGCACATGTGTGGGTTGTTTCAGGCATCTTTGAGTTGTTCTTTTGGACTTGGGGGCACAAGCGGAGAGTTGTGATTGAATGCAGTCATATGCTGGAATGTATTCTGGTGCATAAACTCGGATATGTGTAGAGAGATGGTATAGTCGATGCTAGTTGCGCACTATGTATAGTAGCAAGTGACGACTTGGTGGAAATATGGAGTGATAGGAAACTAACGGTATGCGGAAGTAAAGCATGAACACGATAAGAAGAACGGGAGAGGAATGCGGGAGAATGGCATTCAGTAAAGACGAGGTCACTAAAAGCGACGACTTGCTTCGTGTCTCTTTGATTATGTTCAAGCGGATATAGGTTATTAGTGAGATCCCAAGTATTATATTAACAGGCTCATAATCCTTTAACACTCCACTTACATTTGGTATGTACTGCCCGCTTTTAAGTGAAATTTAATTGCGAACTATTCCAACCTTGATGAGATCTTAGGCAATCATTCTAATATTTAATTCTGCTTTTATTCCATTGCACTAGGCACTTCGAAGTCAAGTATACTTATAAACTATCTGAAAAATGTGAGGCTCTTTCCAATGGGGAATTCCTTCCAATTTTCTATATATTCCGCTCTTTTAAGTAAATGTAACTGTGAACTATCCTATCTTTAACGATATCTGCATGACCTCTATGCAGTTCCTTGCTGGGGTCTTTGAACCCTCAAAGCTTTCTAATCTATTTAGTATGCAATTATATGGAGTTAGTTTACTTAACCCACGCTGTGAATCCAGCATATGGAAAATGTAAATGCATAGTACCAAGCGAGCCACCTCAAAGATACTTGGAATGCAGAGAAAAGTACCAAGTACATGTTTTAACCGAAGGGATATTCTTGCGTATCTTGTTTGGTAGGTGTTACTATCATTACGATTATCTACCTGAAGTTGCTTTTTTTTTTTGAGATCCAAAAGACCTACATTAGAGCCTCAAAGCAATTTTGTCCACTACATCGACCAAGCTTTGCAATTACTACGTGGTGATCTTGAAACGAGACATCTAGCCTCGCACAGTTTTTCACAGCGTTATCTAAGACTAACATCAAGGCTCCAGTCAGTCGATATCAGGTTCATATAGAAAATGCTTCCAAAGATAGCGTGTGCTCATCCTGTGGAAAATTTGTCTAATTCAAAAATAGTAGAAGTGGGAAACGAGGCCTCTTTGGTTGAGCCACTACATGGCTTCCTAGAATAGACTACTACCGGAAACATAAAGGCGGCCGGTATATTTGCTTGTCCTAGCTAAAGCTTCTTTCAGTGGTCAATCTAAATTTGCATGTCACTCTAGATCAATCTACACAATTATACGTTTCTTTTTAAATTTCCTTCTCACCTTTCCACTTCTTCGTTTTCAGGGCCGCTACAAACATCTTCTAGTATTTATAATAGTGTACTAGAATACTGATAAGATTAAGGTACGGAGGCAGAGTGACCATGGTAGTTATCGCGTGTTTCGAAAGACGGTTCGAAAAGAACCTCTAAGTAGTAAAATTGATTTCGAACCTACCTGTAAAACCAGAAGAGTTCAGGACGTGCAGAGAAGACCATAAGAATTCCCGGTCCTGTAACTCCCCGGTTGTTGTTTTGATCGCGATATAAAATCATGGTTCCAACCCCCACATCAGACCCTGTGGGCCTACCTGAAACATTCGCTACGGTAGCGGGATTAGTAGTGTACTCCTAGCAAGAAACTTTAAGATGATTTCTGATCAACGGCAGTGCTCCACCTGATATAGTCATAAGTTTACCGACCCCACAGCAGAGCAGCTATTGATAGACATGTCTCATTCGCCCAATTCAAAGCGAACTCTTAGCCTCTCTTCTTCTCTGACTATAAGCCGACCCTCTGACCTGCCGAACACCCTCCACACGGCGTAACCACCCAACCCGATCCTTCGTATACTGCTCAATCCTCGGCTTCAACTTAGTCTCATGTAAGTTAAAATCGTCCACTGTCCCAATACGAAGAATACTATGTCCCGGGTATGCCTCGCCGACGCGGTACATAAGCGAACCGCACGTTGAACAGAAGAAGTTGGTCATGCTTTTACCGGAAGCGATTGTTCGAGACTGACTGTAGGTTTTGAGATTCTCGCGGCCGCGCAGGTGTTTCAGATAGGCATCTGCAATTATGAAATTGGAGGCGAACATTGAGGCGGTGATTTTGCGGCAGTCTGAACAGTGGCAGAGGAATGTGCCGACTAGGCCGGGACCTTCGGTTGGCTATAGTTTGCCGTTGATATTAGTGGTGTGCGGTTCTTGGTATTAAGGTATGCGCTATACGCACAAAGGCAAGTTGTACGGCGCCGCAATAGCATGTAGCTGTCGCTTGGTGCTCTTTAGACCAACCGTCATCTGCGCCGCCGGCTAGGGGTATGTAGGGTTTAGATTTGTCAGTAGACATTGTCCTGTTTGGAGCTATCGAGAATCGATAAGTCTATGCTATAGTGAATAGTTGCTGATAGAGATGATGTTGAAAGCACTCAGTTTGTTGGCTCCAAATCCCGGAATCCCGGTCCCCCCACCCCTCCCCCGCCCCCACACTTTTAAGAATTCTGCCAGAATATTCTATGGCAGTACAGTTCTTCACGCTGACTCATCCAAGATAAGTGGTCAAATACGAGGTCGGCCGAAAGACCTCCCAATACGGACTAGTGCACTTGCGGTGGGGCCTAGGGAACTAAACTAGGGAAATAAACTAGAGATTGGATATCACTGTAAGCTATGCGAGTCATATCCAATAATACTGTGCGTCATTCTTGATGCACATACTCAATTAAGAGACCACGCACGACTCCCGTGATCGAATCCCTATATTTAGTGACTCGTGCGGTACTTTCCGTGGAACTTCAAACCTTATACGACTGCCAATACGAAGTTCCGAGAAGACGAAGAGATATAAGACGAACAGAAACACGATACCCCGGAGAGGGACCAAGACAGACACATTCAATTGGTGGGAACTCCCGATTAAACCGTTGAGCCTTGGGATTTGAGAGACAATATCCACATTTATTGCTGAAAAGAGTTGGAGGACTTGGGATTCTTCGTTCAGCTGATCATTCATTTTCTAAGAGCTGCACAGCAATGCGTATACTCTTTTTAAATCGTAGACATCATAAGTCCGCCACTTGGGCGGAGCAGAATAACTGACGACCTGCTATTAGCAAGATCCGTATGAAAACTATACTTAGGACCGAGTTTACAGAGACACCACGAAAATTATAAAAAGGGTCCTGTTTCTTGCCAGAGCCAGACGGAAATATATCCAATCCATCTACTGAACATCAACATCTAATAAATTCATCCATCCTCCGTTCGATATGAAGACTTGTGCAGTCATCTGTCTCCTAGCTGCTATTACCACTACTAGTGGAAGCCCGCTGAAGACAAGGAACAATCAAGTTGAGATTACATTCATTGGTGCAGCCAATGCCCAATTTACCCAAAGCTTCCCGAGTGACGGCACTGTCGCCTCCATTGGTGAGCATCCCTTTATCAGGGCCTATTTACATAACTTATTTTAACATCGTCCTCCTTAGGCAACCCACTTAGCATCTCGCACATTTCATCCAACACAGCTGGCATCCAATGCACCTTCAATGGCATTGATCACAGTGTGACAACCGTCACCGGAGCGGAGCTGGTGGATGTGGGCCCTCCGCAAACCCAGGTATCTGCATCTTGCCACGCAATAGGGTCTTCTCCGACTCCGCAAAGCCCCGTGGTGCATCCGAACAACGATGTTCAGGTCACTTTCATCGGTGCCGCCAATGCTCAGTTTACTCAGCTCTTCCCCACCAACGGTGGAAGTGTCCAAATTAGTATGTTTATCGACTTATTGTCTCTTTCGGGTGGAAATAAACTAACGAGTGCAGCCAATCCTTTGAGTATCTCTCATATTGTATCGGATCAAGCTGGTGTTACTTGTGTGTTCAATGGTATTGACCATAGTGTTACTACTATTAGTGGTACACAGTTAGTTGATGTTGGACCTCCTCAGACACAGGTTTCTGGTTCCTGCCGGATGTAAAGTGCGTCGAGAAATTCGAGAGAGAAACAATTTGATGCGTGGATAGGTGAATCTTGAGTTCTGGGGGAGTGTTATAAAAGATAACGGAAAATTGGAACACATGGATATATATTTTTGCTTTATCTGCCTGGGGGGAAACTTATGCCAAGGACAGTCACTCTCTTTTATGCATTTTCCATTCAATACACTCATTAATGCACATCTCTGAGAACTATGTGTTTATTTTGACAAGATAACCTAATTCCGATCGCGCAATTTCTAATCTAATCTGAATTGATTTGACAGCCTGTACAAATGGGTTTCGCGAGAAATGAGGGACGAATTGTGATGATGCAAAGCCGGAATGCGACGCAAGGGGCTGCTCAGGTCAACCTCAGACCTTGACTTTCATTGAGCGGTACTCTCATCTGCCGTTCAACATCTCGCTAGTTTTGTTAATATCTCAAACTGCAATGACTTGCAGTAATAAATCTGCGCGTATCAAATAGCGCCCCCAAAACGCGAAAATGTATGTCAATGACCAAATCCTTGGCCAAGGAGGCCCGGAATTCAGGGCTGCTACTGTCCCTCTCACGGAGCCCTTCCAAGGCCAAGAGTGGGAGTACATTCCAGATGGAAATCCAGACTTTTCCTCAAAGGGCTTTATAAACCAAGTCGCGTCCCCAGATCGCGTGTCTCCGAGCGACAACTACGACCACGACCACCGACACCGCGCTATCGACATGTATGCGACCAAATAAGCGCGTAATACTTAATTTTGAACCAATATTCATTGACGCCTTCGACTATCGTGTCAATTGTCGACGCTTGATTTCCTGTCGAGCTATCGTCGACTGTATTTTTTTTTTTTTTTTTGGGAAATGCGTTGGAACGTGTCTATACCGTTCCTCATCGCCGGCTTTGTCGAGTATGCATTTGCTGGCTTGCATCACTACCATGCTCATAGCCACCGACACCGACACCTGAGACGCCATGCTGAGCAATTGGAGCCGAAGGATCTGGCTTGGGGTAATGCGGAAAATATCCAAGGGGATATGGAGCTGGAATTTGTTACTCTCACGACTACCACTACAGTCGTCGGGAACTGCGCGCCTACCAACACTATTTTCAGTACGTTGACACTCATTAAGGAAGTGCCTGAGCCCACGCCATGTGCCTCAGAGTACCCGGCACACAGTTTCATGCCTGAGCCTATGGCCCCGGAACCCTTCCAAGCCCAGTGGAACCAAATGCAGCCTCATTCCGAGCCTATATATCAAGCCGCAACTCAGTCTGAGCCAGCAAATCCTCACATCAACAAGCCTCAGACCATTCCTCCTGAACCAACAGAGTCTGAGGCTACAACAACCATCTTGAAGACCAAGACGATAACCCGAACCGCAACACGCACCGTGCAAGTCACCGTCACACCAGAACCAGACACCCCATCACTGGCAGACACACTCCGCGACAATCCAACCAAGGAACAAAAAGAAGTCCCACACAAAGGCCCACCAAAGAAAGACAACGGCGGTGCTGTCAACGCAGTCCTCGCTCTCCCAGGCGAAGTCCTCCCAGACCTACCAGTAGTCAACCAACTCCTCCCAGGCCCGAAAGCCGACAAACCCGCACCAGTAGCCTGGACAGCAACACCACCGAAAGGCGAATTCTCAGCCAACGGATTCGGCGGGCGTACAGCACCACATGGAACAGAAATCGACTACCGCGGTAACGTCGGCAAACCATGGGGCAGCAACATCATCATCGTCAGCCCTGAAGAAGCACACACCTACAAATACGTAGCGCAGTTCCACGGCGCACACGATAAACCCTGGACAGTAGTTGTCTGGAACAAATTCGGGCCCGACGGGAAGATGAACGGGTGGTACGGACACTCCGCAGTGACGTTCTCAATTGCACCCGGTGAAACGCGCTATGTCGCCTTTGATGAGGATTCCGAGGGTGCATGGGGTGCTGCGCCGGGTGATTCGCTTCCGAAGGACCAGTGGGGTGGGTATTCGTGTACCTGGGGTGAATTTACGTTTGGAGATGGGGAGAATAATGGCTGGTCGGGTTGGGATGTGTCGGCTATTCAAGCTCAGATTGCTAAACAGCATGTGCAGGGTATGTCAATTTGTCAGGCTGACGGGCAGGGGTGTTCTGTTATTACCCCTAATGCGGACAAGGTGGTTGATGCTTATGTTGAGTCGAAGAAGGCTCGGAATGGCATTGGGGGTGCGGCGGCTCCTGGGCCGGTGCGGTTGGATGTTTTGCTTGATTATCGCGGGTAGGGGTTGATTAGTATATAATGTTTGATTTGCATTTCTATTAGCGAGGAGTAGTGTTGATAATTCACTGATCCATTGATAATGTTCTCTCCAAACTATCGTACATGTTTGAATCTTTCCATGGATGAGTACTGCAATGCAGAGGTGACTGAGATACTAGTGACAAGGCTTTCACACCAACCCACGTATGCCCTCTTACAATGTGTTCCTCTCAAAATACTGCCTCTCAGCTAGTCTAATTCATAGCAGGGATATCAATCTCGGCAATAGTCCAAACCTTGCCACCCTGACTGGACTTAAGTCCAGTGTAAGAAGCACCAGCAGCCTTAGAAATAGTAGAACCGAAAGTGGTATCAGCACCGGCGAGGGTAATAACAGTGTTCAGGTACTTCTGAGCAGCGATAGTACCAGAGCAGTGGTTATTGCACTCAGTACCGGTACCGTATCTAGTCCAAGTCAGTATACCCCAAATATCAATATCAAATATCCGCTTTGGGAAACTCACCCTCTCATATATGGGCCGGAGGCAAGGGAGTAGGTGGAGAGCAGGGCGCCGGTCACAGCGTTAGTGACGGTCCTATTTATATTAGTCTTGATTTATACTTCGCCCACAAATACTAGCACTTACTGCTTCCAGGTCTGTCCATCAGACTCCAAGTTGTACTCGATACGGACGTGGTCGTCGCCACTGACAGCGGCACCATTACCATCAAGCTGGCCAAAGCTTCCGAAGACACTGGCGCGCACACACCACTGGCCCTTGGTGGCTCCGCACCAGGAGTTGCTGGGCCAGCTCTCGAGGGTGGTCTGGACGAGGTCGCCCGTTCCGTTGGACATCTATGGCTATCAGCACACTGCTTCAAGTTAGATTCTAGGTAGTTGAAAACTCACACCAGGCCACAAGAACAGCACTCCGTTCTGAGTGGGGGGAGCAGCACCAGGGATCAGAGTAGTAACAGCATTGATAATGGTCGACTTGGAGGGACCAAGTGAAACACTGCCACCCCAGGTATCATCTCTCTTCGCGTGCTCAGTGACACCAGCACTGACAAGGCCAATGCTGGCAAGGGCAGGGATAATGAAACGCATATTGAACAGGGTGAA